GAACAAGTGTGACTAAATTGATTAAACTTAAAAACTTTTGCACAGCAAATGAAACTATAAGCAAGGTGACAAGACAACCCTCAGAATGGGAAAAAATAACAGTAAATGAAACAACTGACAAAGAGTTAATTTCCAAAATATACAAGCAGCTCATAAAACTCAATTCCAGAAACACAAACAACCCTCAAAAATTAGAAAAAAGACCTAAACAGACATTTCTCCAAAGGAGACGTACAAATGGCAAATAAACACATGAAAAGATGCTCAACATTGCTCATTGTTAGGGAAATGCAAATCAAAACCACAATGAGATATCACCTCACACTGGTCAGAATGGCCGTCATCAAAAAGTCTACAAGCAATAAATGCTGGAGAGGGTGTGGAGAAAACTGAATATTCTTGCATTGTTGGTGGAAATGTAAATTGATACAGCCACTATGGAAGATGGTATGGAAATTCCTTAAAAAACTAGGAATAAAACCAGGATATGACCCAGCAATTCCATTCCTAGGAATATACCCTGAGGAAACCAAAATTGAAAGAGACACATGTATCCCATTGTTCATTGGAGCATTATTTACAATAGCTAGAACACGGAAGCAACCTAGATGTCCATCACAGATGAATGGATAAAGATGCTGTGGTACATATACACAATGAAATATTACTCAGCCATAAAATGGAACACATTTGAGTCAATTCTGATGAGGTAAATGAACCTAGAACCTATTATACAGAGTGAAGTGAGTCAGAAAGTCAAAGATAAATATCATTTTCCAATGCACATACACAGAATCTAGAAAAATGGTACTGAATAATTTATTTACAGGGCAGCAATGGAGAAACAGACATAGACAATAGACTTATGGACACGGGGAGAGGGGAGGAGAGGGTGAGATGTATGGAAAGAGTAACATGGAAACTTACATTACTGTATGTAAAGTAGACAGCCAATGGGAATTTGCTAAATGGCTCAGGAAACACAAACAGGGGCTCTGTATCAACCTAGAGGGGTGGGATGGGTCAGGAGATGCAAGAGAGGTTCAAAAGGGAGGGGATATATGTATACATTGGCTAATCCATGTTGAGGTTTGACAGAAAACAACAAAATTCTGTAAAGCTATTATCCTTCAATAAAAAATTAAAAATATTTTTTATAATGTTATTAACATATATGTCTTCCTGGAAAAAAGTCAAATGAAAAGATTGCAATCCTTCACACTCCTGATAATTGTGACTATTTGTATTTTATTTCTTTGCTTCAAAACGTTTATGTCTATATCTGGAATAAACAGAAAAATGGAAAGAGAAAACAGTGGTAAGAAAGACTGGCTTTTGTTTTAAAAAACTGAAGTCTTCATATCATTAACTCTGAACATAATTTTTAAAAATTACTTTTAAATGCATGGTAATTTCTAATGCAATCCCAGATCAGTGAATATTTATACTGCTTAGATATTGGTAACTAGTGATGTATTTTTCATCATACACAAATAGTTTATAATGTGAAAAGCACATGTCAGGTACTTCTCTCTTGATTATTTCCTTTGGATAACCTATTGAGAAGAATTACTAGGTGAAAAATACAGATTTCATTTATTTAATAATAGCATATCTTTAAATGTAAATTTGATTTTTGTCTTGTCTAATTGATTTGTTGAATAATTTTGAATGCTTTTTTGTCAATTAACTTCAAATGACATTTTATAAATCTTCAATAAAGATTCCTAGGAAAACATATACTGATAAAGAGTAAACAGAAATTCATCATTGATATTGTGAATAGCTTCTGGTCATTTTGTCAAGAAATGTCCAAGTTTTCCATTATATTAAATTGACCTAATATGGAGTCTTCAAGTTAACTTCATCAAATTCTGAATATTCTGAAGACAAATATTGATGCCACATAACCCATATCATGTTTATACTCCTTAATCTTATTCAGTAGGCTAGTCAAAGATTTGCTTTTAATGCCATAGAAGTCAATTTTAACAGAAAAAGAGTGAAAGCTTATAGAAATGAACATAGTTACACATAGAATTATGTGACTTCTATGTATACTTTGAAAAAATTATTAATAGCTTGATGAAACTTTAAATTACCTGAAGATAAGGTCTATGTGTTTCTTATATTCATCCACTAGACATTATACTTCATACTAGAGTATTATGTGAATGTTTAATGTTAGAAAATATCTGCTGTGTTAATACATTAATTAATGACATTTTGCTATTTATACTCAGTCTTTCCTATTAGGGATTTCTTCTTAGAAATGTTTCTTGTTTATGTTGCTATTTGGTAACTAAAGTCTAACTCAAGCCCTTAATTTTCACTGCCAATAACTCAAGAGAAAGTTTTATTCCCTGTACCATCACAATGTACTTGCTGCAAATGCCAATCTCTAAAGCAGGGTTCTAAACCTGGTATGCAAGTAGAATTCAAAAAATGCATGAACACACATGGGAAAATGCCACACCTTTATCTTTACGATTCTTCTCGTTAAAATATAGTATTTCCTTCAGTAAAAAGCTGGATATAAATAATCTCTGACTTTTGTCACCTATAAAAATCAGATATTTTATATCATGTTAAATATTATGACTATATCAAAATATTGCTTATGATATTCTTTAAAATTACAGAAATTATTAGCCCCACTACTTACTTAATGTATCAGTAGAGAAGTATATTAATATCTCTCTATATGTATATATTCATATATATGTATATTAGTATACATTTACTAGAATATTTGAAAATATTTTAAAATTATTTTATCATTAATTTCCTTTTTATTTCATCTTATGTATTTAAAATCTTTGTTCGAAAAAGGGTGCCATAAACTAGAAAAGTCTTGGTTTAAAAATAAAGAGATTAGGGGTACTTGCTCTATAACAGCTGTGTTGGCTTACTGGGATTACAAAGCAATCAGGTGACATTTTACAGGTAACACATTTCTTTCTAATAAGTTCCTTCAGAGGACACAAAATCTTAACTAAACGATATGAAGAAAATACTTACTAAGAAGGCCTTTTGGTTTATTTTAATTCATAATGTGAAGGTGGGTCTATATTTTTCTCTATATCTATGTATATCACTTATCCTGTCAAAGCATTTGGGATTATCCCTATTTTCATAGGTATGCAAATACTTATAAGCAGGATTTGGATCTTATGAGAGGTTAAGCACAGATTTATTGTTTTTTTGTTTGCAATGCAACTTATAGCTATGAATTTGAATGTGTAGAATATACTTCTTTTTCAGGACTAATAAAATTATTACACATGGGAACTTATTAAAAGTTGGGAATGTATCTAGCAGGTGTTCACTAGCTCTATTGCTTTGTATACTAAAGAATGAAATCCAATGTTCAGTGGCTGTTCTATTCTCCAGTAATTTTTAAACCTGCTTTAAAGTACTTCAGAATATCAAGTTCATGAAAGTAATGAAAGATATTTCTCAGATTTTTACACATGTATATCTTTTGAGATCCTTATTCCCTTTCCTCCAAAGTCATCCTAAAAAAAGAGAGAAGTGAATCAATATTTCTTTCAGCCAAGTTTCAAACTGCCCATTTTTAATTATTTCCTAGACTTATGAGCTTCTATAATTTTATAGAGGTGCTTTTTCCCCTTCCTTTAACAATGTCTGTTTTAACTTTATAGATATTTATAGATTAGTACTTTGACAGGAAATATATTCTCTTATTCTCTTTAAGAGACTTTCATATAGATATTTTTATTGACTGCTTTAGCTAATGTTATTGCTTTTTTTCTTTTCTCTCATATAAGTGAAAAGGATAGGTAAAATAAATCTGACCTTTGGTTTATGCCCACAATAATTTTCATTAGATTCCATTATCAAGAGATCCTGAGTGGAACCTATGGCTTTAATGTTCTTAAATATAAGGGGCACTCAAGAAGACTCTTTTTAAGTTATGTCCTTAATTGAAATCTAATAACAGAGTAGAACTGAAATGTTCTGATCAAAAAAGAAAAAAAACTATGTACATCAAGCTATACATTTTAAATATCTCACAATTGCTAATTATACTTCAATAAAGCTATGAAAAGATTAAAATTACTTCCACTAAAATTGCTGCTAACTTTTGAGGGGGTTAAAAAGATAAACAGAAAACTTTAAAAATGAGATTTATTAATAAAAAGGCTAAAAAGGATAAGACATGTAAAAGAGGAAAGGATGATAAGAAGAGCATCAATAGAAAGAAAAATCTAAAGTTTAAAAATAAAAAGGGAGAAAAAGAAGACACGGGGAGGAATAAACATAAAGACAAATAACAACAACAGAAAATGCAGAAGATATGAAGTGAATTAAAGGTGGAGATAATACAGTTAGTGAAGTTAAAACAGAAACTACAATATATCAAGAAGCAATTATTTCTAAAATAAAAGCATAATAAACAGTGATAGACTTGTGAAGACTGGTGATTCAGGTTTGACATATAAAGACAATGTGTTCTGTAAAAAAGAGTTATCTAATAAAATTGAATTTCAATCACTTGTGATTTGAACTTCATAGAAACAATAAATCTCTTGAGTACAAAACTTTCCATGTTTCATCTTGGAAAGATAGATCTGTTATTGAATATTAGTTTAATGTAGCAATTCAAAAGGTTATTGGGTCCATACCTAGGAAGTATGCTTAACATAAATATCTCTAAGAAATATACTATAGCAATACTAGAAATCATAAAAATATACTAATTTTAGATAGTATGAATTATTAAAATATTGACACAAGGTAAATTCTAAGGTGAGGTTTTTATGCTACTATTATGCTTACTGTGAATCTGTTTACTTTTAAGAGTGTTATACTTGGGAACTACAGAACATGAAAAAAAATACCCATATTTCATTATTATGTTGTGAACTAAGTATACGCAGTTTCAGAACTTTATTATATCACCAAATAAACGGCGGCTCATTCCTTTTACTAACCAGTACACCGACAGACAATTTTGAAAAGAATACACATTTTACAAAAGCAATTATCCACTTTTATTTTGTTTACATTGCACTGAAAATTTACATCATACTTTTACAAAGTTTTTTTTTTTTCATAAAAATATACTTCTTTACAAAAGTGTATGCATTAATATAAGAGGAGTAGCCAGTTGCAGAAGAAACATTATTTAAACAAGATCTTAAATGTATTAACCTTAACATTAATGAATGAATCATTGTTATTGCAGTCATTTGAATAAACAAGAATAAATAACTGATGGAATAAAATTTAAAACAGCATCCTGTCAGTAGAGTACAATGTTGGGAAAATTACAGGAATTTCCAAAACAATGTATCTCAAAGTGGTTTACAAGAAATCCACTACATGTTGTAGAGATAGATCCAAGCAGCGCTCTGGGTGCAATGATTTCTCGTAGGCACTCTGTCTCATGATACAAAAAGTCGAGATTGTTTACAACTTTATCCATATTTGAAAGGGACAACAATGAAGTGTTCACACTGGGTACATAATTTATTCAATGAAGTAAAACATGCTATTAAAGGAAGACTATGACCTATTAAATCAAAATGCTGGCATTACTGTGATACAGTTGTAAGTAACTTGCAAATATATACCTTAATGACTATTAAAGAAGCCTGTCATATCTGGAAGCTGCTTCTTAAGAATAAGAGAATAGAAATTTCTATATATATAAAAATTTGGTAAATCCACAACTTTAGGAAATAAATTTATATTGGTGATTTGAAAATAATTTTACTTTTAGTCATTTTGATTTAGGCAATGGTCCAAAATATATGTTTACCTCAATGTTAACTAAAATGTTTAACAAGCTTATACTTCTAACTCACTGTTAGATAAAAGTTCAAAGCAATATTAAATAAATTTGAAGACTCAGCTTGAAGGAAAAACAGATAAGTTATAAACTAAATAAGTAGATTGATAGGTTCTATTTGGTCTTGCAAAAATATTAGAAAGAATGTTAAGTTTGGTATCTCAGATAACTGCAAAATCATGATTATTATAGACAGTTTTTGCCAGCTAAAGTGGTTTCTGAGGAACAAAAAAGATTGAAGCAAGGAATTAAACACTTACCCCATGGCTCACTGAATAATATTGGTTACAACATAATGAGCGAAATCAGGAAAATAGCATGATGATCTTGCCATTTGCAGAAACTATGACAACCAGGCTAAAAAAAGATAGCAGTATGATACTGAAGAACAAAAACCAGAAAGCATCAAATCAGCGTGGGCAATCTTATCTCATCTGTGACATAAATTAGCTCATAAACATTTCAGGGCATGACTCAATCTGAAATAATCAGGGAAATGGAGAAAACAATGACTCAATTAATAGGAAGGAACAGCTGATAGAGTGGTGTGAAATACAGACTTAACGGGCATGATACAGCTCATGACAGTTAAAGAGAAGTCAGTGATCTATTGACTCTTGTAAGTATAGCTCTTATTTTCTACCCTATTTCATTTTTTTAAAACCCAGTCCCTCTAATATAGTTTATAAAGCACAGAAATACTGATAGTGGATGCTCCTCCAATATATGCAAATAAGTTTATGTTTTAGAATAATCTCCTTTTTAAAAAAAGCAAATAAACTGTGAGTAAGCACTCTCGGAGTGCAGCCAAATTTCTGTAAAATTCTCCATGGTAAACATGAAGAAGAATTATGGTCCAGTTTATGAAAAACCACTCTTCTCTATCATTCCACAGGAAAAGGTGACCCAGCGAGTCCTGATAAGTGTGCTTTAATTTATTTATCAGTGAACTAAATGTGCACTGTTTTGTGTGTCGATTTCCAAGCTTCTGAAGAAGGCCAAAGCTGCCACGTTATACCATTGTGCAGACTGTGTTCAAGTTGGGATCGAACCGTACTGCCTTCCCTTCCACTGACTTTGCGTTGGTGTCATACATGGGATTTTCAAAAGCTGCTTGGCCATTGTTATTTTCATGAACTGAACATCCTGTATACTGGGTTTTGGGAGCAGTCCTGTTGATGAGATCACTAATTAGTTATACATTAACTTTCTTCTAGAAACAGCAGAATAGGGCTCAAACACAACATATCAATACTTGAGTTATCACTGTTAATGGATAATATAACTTGAAAATATTGAGAAACCACAATTCATCAAGTTTGAATAATATACCTGTCATTTTTAAATCATGAGTGACTTTTATTATTTACATAAATATATACTTATAAATAGTACCAATATAAGTAATATAAGTATAAATAAATATTATGGCTATTCTTATAAAGTTTCTTATGAGATAATGTTATCATCAATGATCATGTAAAATATAGCTAAATTATGATGATGATGAATTCAAATCCCATTACTATTCATTCCTCAAGTACTTATTGAGCGTCCATTACATGCTAGGCATGACCCTAGGCATTGGATATATAATTTTTCTTTTTTACAAAAAACATACAAATTCATTACTCTCATATTACAAGGATAGCGATGAAAAAATTAAAAATAAACAAGAAAAACAAAACAAGATAATGAAAATTGTTTTGCTGAAAAGGAAAATGGTTAATATGACCAGAAGTAACTGGGAGCCATGTTAGGAGAGGTAATAAAGAAAATAAGGAAGTAAAATTTAATCTGAGACTTGAATGAAAATAAGGAATTCATTCTGCAGTAATAAGAAGGGAATTCCAAGAAAAGCAGACATCTAATGCTGACAGTTTTAGAAAGTGCTTAGAGTATCCCAGAAACAAATACTCAATTGGTTTTAAATTATATACATTAGAACAAATAAACTCAAAATCTGAAAGACAAAATGACTAAATACACTGATATTTCATGTCATGAAATAGTTTCCAGAATTCTTGATAACTGAATATTTCCTATTAGTTAATAAAACACATGGAATCTAAGCTGGCTGGTATAAGTTGCTCATTTTGAATCCCTCATTTATTTTTTGTCTCACTTTTGATTAATGTTTTATTTCTAGTTTCTCTTTCCCATATCCTACTGCATAATTTGCTTATATTTATAAATAAAATGATAAAAAATCAAATTACAAAAAGATCATATATAAATCAAATTATAATTTTATTTGTAAATCAAATGATTAAAGGCATACTTGAGTTTGAGCAAACTCTGGGAGATAGTGAAAGACAGGGGAGCCTGGTGTGCTGTAGTCCATAGGGTCGCAAATGTTGGACAAAACTTAGGGACTGAACAACAGCAACAAAAGCATACTTACCCCTACTTGTTCCTCAAACCTAATTCCTAAAAAGGCTTTAAAACAATTCTCTTTTGCTTATAAAAAAGAACACAAAATTTCAACTACTTATTTTATTATAATTTGTACTTGCCACTCTGTGATTGTACTATCCTTAGCACATTTTCTGAATTTTTTTCTGTATTAAAAATTGTCAGGGATTTGTATGATAACATTTTAAAAAATCTATCTAAAATTGCTTTCAATAGAATCATCTATATATATACATATATAGATGTATATATGTATATATACATATATATAGTTATATGATATAAATTATATTGCTTACAACTTTTGTCAGCTTTTGTCAGGTGTATAATTCTAATTGATCATATTCATCTCTCTTTTTTAAACTAGATTCACAATAAAAACAGAAGCAACATCATTTTCTTCTAATTAGGTAAGAATCATAAAAGTGTAAAAGATTTGTTCCTGCAAATATTAAGCAATAGCTTTAAGGAAAATAATATCAAACTTCAGAAAAGTTTATACCATCAATAAAAATTAACTTAAAACTAATCAATGTTCTAAATATAAGAGCAAGATGTATAAAATTCTTAGGAGAAAACACATAGGTAAACCTTCATGACCTTGCATTTGGCAATGGTCTCTTAGGTATAATACTAAAAGCAAAGTAACAAAAGAAAAAAGAAACAAATTGAACTTCATCAAAATGAAAAGTCTGGTATATCAAAGGATACTATCAAGAAACTGTAACTACAACCCACAGAAAGAGAAATATTTGCAAACCAGATATCTAAAAAGGGTCTAGTATCCAGAATATATGGAGAACTCATATACCTCAAAAATAAGACAAATGAGTCAATTTCAAAAATGGGCAAAGAATTTGAATAGGTATTTCTTCAAAGAATGTAGACAAATGACTAGCAGACACATGAAAAATGCCCAATATTATTAGTAATTAGGGAAATGCAGATCAATATCACAATGAAATACCACTTCACTAGGATGGTTAAATGAAAGTGAAATCACTCAGTCGTGTCTGACTCTTTGTGATCCCTTGTACTGCAACCTATCAGGCTCCTCCGTCAATGGGATCTTCTAGGCAAGAATACTGGAGTAGGTTGCCATTTCCTTCTCCAGGGGATCCTCCTGACCTAGGGATCGAACCCAGGTCTCCTGCATTGCAGGCAGACGCTTTACCATCTGAGCCACCAGGGAAATCACATTAAATGTGGTTACATGAAGGAAAAAGGTTAAATGAAGGATTACCATATAATCCAAGAATTTCATTCTTGAATGCATACTCAAAAAACTGAAACAGGCGTCTGAACAAAACTTGTACACAAACATGTCTAGCAGCACTGTTCACAATAGCCCAAACACAGGAATAATCCAAATATCCATCAACTGGTGAATGGACATCTTTAAACACAATATATTCAAACATACAATGGAATGTTATTCAGCTACATAGTCAATAATATGTAGATGTGTAGTATGATATGGATAACCTTGAAAACACTATATTATATTTAAGAATACAGACACAAAATGTCACTTATTGTATGTTTCCATATATATAAAACATCCAGAAGGTGAACCAAAGTAGTTGCCTGGGACTGGGGTAGGAGGAGTGATTGCTTAGTGGGTATAGTTTCCTTCTAGGCTGATGGTTCTGTGACATTGTGAGTATACTAAATGTCACTGAATTGTACATCTACAACGGTTTAAATCATTTTATGTGTATTTTACCACAATAATAAAAAATGATTAGCATAGCTTGCTTTATGAATAAATTTAGTGATGATTTTTATCATTAATAACATCTGATATTGACAGGGCCTGAATAACTGCTAATGCACAATTGTTACAAATTTGCATAATATTAATTAAATCATTCTTAGATAATATAGACTGTCATTTATAATAAGGACATTGGTTTTGATAAAAAGACATTTAGGAATTCATTTAGTTATCTGGTTACCAGCATACTTTCTTCTTCTTTTTTTTTTTTTTGCCTTTTTTTGTTTCCTTAATAAGGGATGGTCTCAAATAGTGGATTAACTGCATAGTAAAGCCCTTCATTAAGATATTGTAATGGATGTAGCAAAGAAGGGGTCAACTGATAATCTATACAGTCATACATGAAATATATAACAAATATAACATACTAACTGCATCATCTTCTAAAAACAACAGAAGATAAAAGAGAGGACTAGAAGATTTTATTATCTGTCAGCCTGGGTAAAATCTGTCATTACTGTCATATAAACTAAGAGGTTTAAACATAAACTTCTTCCTTTTTTTCTAAAGAAATGTGAGAGCAGATATCACCTCTTCAATCTAAACCTTTACTTAGATTTTGTATCTCTATAGTTTCAGCATGGATAATGTAAAAATAACTTATACAAGAAGTTACATTACAGAAAATTGACAGACAAAAGGAGGAAGGATAGAGCTGAATGTTTGCACAACTCAACAGAGAAATTTTAGTTGTGTATATATTAGGGTGATGCGATGATGGGCAGAGGAATAATGGCTTTAACAAACTGTGGTTATATTTGCTACAATAATCCAGACCAAAAAAAAAAAAACAAACCCCAGAAGTTAGAATTTGAACTGTAGAGTAAAAAGAACATAAAACATAGATTTGGGAAACATTTTATACTTAACATCAATAAACTTACCTTTGTTTATAGAGATAAAATCCAAATCCTGCAAATATAAGTGCAAAAAAAGGCACCAGAATAGCAATAGCCACGGAACTACTATTTGTACCATGAGGTTGATTTGAAGAATTTGAGCCTTCTGACACATTCAGTCCTATAAAAGAGAAAAAAAATAACATACAAATACAAAGTTAGGTCTCTTTTATCAACTTGATATTTTTTATAAAAAAATTTAATTTATTCCTTGCTCAAGATATTTATCTACTTGGAAATACAAAAATAATTCACAAAACTCCTTCATTTCCACACAATTTTACACAATGCCTACTATGTATATTTTTCCAGGAAAGGATACAGAATGAAAAATAAGCAGAGTCTCTGAACTTGAGTTAATAACAACTGTAGGAAGAATACAGAGCGACAAAATAAGTGTATATACGAAGCATGAATTAATGTTAAGCGTATCTGTATGCAAAGGATATGTGGTAGGAATAGGAGGCTAACATGATAAACTATCTGAAAAGGCATAAATATTATTCTAAAGAGCTCAAAACTTTCCACCTACCTATACTGAGGAATAATAACTGAAGATGCGTAGGGGAAAAAATGGCTCAGTGATAAAATACAAGATTTTGAACAGTGACTAGAGTGAGACAGACTTGAGAGAGTCTGGTCTGAAGGCAGCAATAGTTTGAAGACATCCAAGATAAAAATGGAAATTAAGATGGGAACTATAGCACTAGGAAGAGCATGAAAAGATAGATTTCCAGGAACATTTCATATTTCAAGTGAACAGAAGTTATTTGTGTGGATGAAGGATGAAGGATGTAAGAAGGCATAGGATTTAGAAGTGTTCTCCTTGGGACTGAGTAAATGGTTATGACATTAGCATAGCTAAGAGATGAGAAAAATGAGATTTGTCAATGTGTTGGCACAGGGACTATGGAAGAGAAATAAATAGCAAGCTTTTTTTCAGAAAGAAATAGTTTTTCTTTTTAATAGGTTCTGTTTTAGACATGCAGTGCTTGAGATGCTATGGGGAATATAATGTGAAAAAATCTTGCATTCAATTATGTGACTGTGACAATGTACTATATTAGTGAATGTCTTCTACTGATTTTAAAACTAACAATTGTGGCAAGACATTATCTGAAATGGCATATCCTTATTATTGTTCATTTGGGGAAAGCTGATTTACTTTTTTGACAAATATTCAACTAAATCAAATGTTCAACTAAATTATGCTTTATTAACTATGCCAAGGCCTTTGACTGTGTGGATCACAGCAAATTGTGGAAAATTCTTCAAGAGATGGGAATACCAGCCCACCTAACCTGCCTCCTGAAAAATATGTATGCAGGTCAAGAAGCAACAGTTAGAACTGGACATGGAACAATAGTCTGTTTCCATATCAGGAAAGGAGTACGTCAAGGCTGTATATTGTCACCCTGCTTATTTAAATTATATGCAGAGCACATCATGTGGAATGCTGGGCAGGATGAAGCACAAGCTAGAATCAAGATTGCTGGAAGAAATATCAATAACCTCAGATAGGCAGATAACAGCTTATGGTAGAAAGCGAAGAAGAACTAAAGAGCCTCTTGATAAAAGTGAAAGAGGAGAGTGAAAAAGTTGGCTTAAAACTCAACATTCAGAAAATGAAGATTATGGCATCTGGTACTATCACTTCATGGCAAATAGATGGGGAAATAGTGGAAACAGTGTCAGACTTTATATATATATATTTTTTTGTCTCCAAAATCACTGCAGATGGTGCTTGCTGCCATGAAATTAAACTTTCCTTGAAAGGAAAATTATGACAAAGCTAGATGGTATTTATAAAAAGCAGAGACATTACTTTGCCAAAAAAGGTCCATATAGTCAAAGCTATGGTTTTTCCAGTAGTCATGTATGGAAGTGAGAGTTGAACTATAAAGAAAGCTGAGTGCTGAAGAATTGATGGTTTTGAACTGTGGTGTTGGAGAAGACTCTTGAGAGTCCCTTGGACTGCAAGGAGATCAATCCAAAAGGGATCCATCCCTGAATATTCATTGGAAGGACTAATGCTGAAGCTGAAACTCCAATACTTTGGCCACCTGATGCGAAAAAGTGACTCCTTGGAAGAGACCCTGATATTGGGAAAGATTGAAGGTGGGAGGAGAAGCGGACAACAGAGGGTGAGATGGTCGGATGGTATCACTAGGTATCCCTTCCTAGTAATGGACAGGGAAGCCTTGCATGCTGTAGTCCATGGGGTCTCAAAGAGTGGACATGACTGAGAGACAACTGAACTGAAGTCATACCCTGGTCAAGGTTAAAAACATTAGTACCATTTTATATTTTAATTTTCCAGGGACTCAGAAAACTTACAAAAAAGTTCAAAGCAATGGAATTTTAAAGATAAACATCAAGGAGTAGTTTTTAGAACATGGATTTACTCTTTATGCATTACTACTACAATATAATAATGAGAGACAGTATAGTTTTGGAAAATTATACACCAAAAGTTATGATAATAAATACAGTCAAATGAGACTATTAAATATTTAGACACGTTTGAGAAGAGTTGAAAATAAAAATGACAAAACCCTGTGCCTCCCACCACAGAACATTTACATAGCTGAATAGCACAAACCCCCCAAATGGTTCATTCCTCAAAGTAACTTCCCCATCCAGATTCTATGAGTTTCTCAAAGTGCCACTACATTTTTCTTTGAGGGGGGGGGGTCTGTAAGAAAATTTGAAATATATTCAAATGGAAGAGAAGTAATACAAATCTCATAAGATAAAATTATTCACAGTTAAAAATTTTTTTAATCTTTATCACTTTTTCTCCTTTTTACTTGCTTGAGGGAAAGGCAGTTTGTCATGTTTATTAGAAATATGATGAAAAACTAAACACTGTATTGAGTTGGAACACAGAGAACCAATATTTTAAAGAATGCAATTATTTAAAAGGCTATCAAGTATATCAATGTATAGTCCTGACAATACAAAATTCAAAATGCGGTAAGTGTGCCTAATGTACAGAATCCATTATATTTTCTTATGATATCTTGAGTAATAAAGAAAGTACATGAAAATGAAAATGACTACATTACCTAGTCTTTGTAGTCCAAATTGCCCATAATCTTTACCCTGAATAAATCCTTGAAATACATAAGTAGCTCCATCAGGCTCAGCGGAAACCTAAAAATATTTATAAGTTTGATTAAACATGAAAGCTGGCCACAGATATATTTTCCCAGTCTTAGAAAATATTCAGGTTTACTATAAAATGAATATTATGCACAATTCCTTCTTCCATATCTTCTTCTGTGTAAAACAGAACATCATGCAAATTTACCATCATTAAAAATAAAATGAAAAATTTTGTCTTTAATTAGGATACTGGAAATAAGTGGCATTAGTTATCAATATAATTATACAGATTTATAAATTTCTTTTAGGTGAAGAAACTGATTGTCAAGAAAAAGACCAAGGATATGATAAAACAGAATGAGGCAAATAGTCAATTAACAATTAAAATATAATAATACTGTATTTTGTAGATTCGATTACTGTTCACCATACAGGCACTAATTCTCTCCCTTCCCATCAACCTTCATGGAAAGTGTATTTGTTCTTCCTCAGTGAGTTGGATTTGGTCCTGTGACTTGCTTTGGCCAATGGAATGTGGGTGGAATTGACAATAGGTCAGTTCCAATCCTAGGCCTTAAGATGTATGTTTCCCATTATAAGTGGAAGAACCCATATAATCCATGGTCACAAAAGACCAGGGATTGTATGATTTCATAAATATGAAAGCCTAGAACAGTGAAATATAGAGACAGAAAATAGAGTTGTGGTTGCTTGGATTTGGGGGAGAAAGGAGGGGTGGATGGGTTGGGTGATAGATAAAGGATATGGTTTCTTTTTGAGGTGATGATAATATTCTAAAATCAACTGTGGTGATGGTTACATATCTGTAAATATACTAAGAACTACTGAACTGTATACTTTAAATGAGTAGGGTACATGAATTATATCTCAATAGGGCTGTTAAAATAAGGGGGACATATTTCCACTTTGTCCCTCAGAGTTTCAGGCCTTTGGCAAGAGAAGGACATGTTCCTGGCAGCTGCTATCCCTCCAGCCTGGACCTGATATGAGACATCTGGAGGAAACCTGAACTTGATACCACAGCTTCAAATGGAGTCCCCCAAGCTAAACTCAGACACATGAGAAAGAAAATACATGTTGTTTGGTCCTGAGATTTTGTGGCCTGCCTAATGCCTCAAATGCTATTAACTGTACCTTGCATGTAAAATTCTATACGTAAAAAATAGGTTACATGCATAGTGTCATTTGATCTCACTAATAAAATATGAGTTGATACATTTTAGTGTTGCTGGTAACTAGTCATATGAATTTACCCCAAAGTTTGTCCTGATTATTAGCAGTGTTACCTAAGTCATGTATGTTATTGTGAAAGCTGCAAAAAACCTTTCATCCTCACCCTAAAAAGCAAAGTATTATACCAAATTAGTCACATAAGTCTGACATTTCAAAAGTGATTTATTCCTTATTATCAGACATACCCTGGGAAAGGTCATTTTTAGACACAAAATGCTGCTAAAAAGAAGAGCTCAAACTCTAATAGTTAAATGAATGAATTCATTTTATTTGTTTCCTAAATGAAACAATCTAAGTACACTGAAGATGAGTTAGTTCAACTCCATGAATAATGGCACAGAAAGGGAATGCCCTTTCTTTTTCTCTCAGAAACCAAACTTAATCTCCATATTTAGAAAATTTTATAAAGTTGGCTATGAAGAAGAAGTTACGTGAGCCACTTCCTCTGAATAGTTACCATAACCTCACTTTGGAGTTACCCTGTTCTAGTCAGTTACTTACATGAATGGAATTTCTAAATTGGCAGTTGGAAGCAACAAACCTTATACTTACACACTGCTCAGAAGTCTTTGATACAATGAGCATGGGAACTCCAACTATATGCTCTGAAGTAACAAAACTTTTACAAGGAAAACTTTCTAGGTAAGAAGAGAGTAGGTCATAGGCTTCAGTAGTTTAGACACACTAGATTACTAAGTATTTATATTGAATCATTTATTTTTTCAAAGCAAATTAGTTATAATAGTAGTTTTGCTATTTTATGTGTGTGCATTTAACTAGCTCAATTTAGAAAATTACATTTTTCTGTAATTTTAATGGCAAACAATAGCACAAATATGTTATTAAGTTTGGCAGCAGACTTTTAAAGAACTATACTTACAAAGCCATCCATTGCCCAATTTTCCTCCTTCATTTTCTTCACAGAAGCTTGAGCTGGTACTTTAATAAGATAGATGTGTAACATTAGGCGAGCTTCTTGGCTTTTATACACTCCTGTAAAATATAAGGATGTTTAGTCTACTAATTTTGCAAATAGTTATGTTTCACTTTATTATCTATAGCTCCTTAATATATAATATAGCTATATATTATATATATATATATATAATATAATACTAATATAGCTCCTTAAATATATAATAAATACATGTGATAGGAAAAGAAAAAAAAGCAACAAATCAAGTCCAGTCTCACCCAGAATGCTTTTTCACAAATCTTGTAATATATAGTGCTCTCTCAGCTGAAATTCCCAACTTAACTCTTACTGTGGGGTTTAAATTACCTATGCTATTAAAATCAAATATTATTTTTGTCAATAATATAATTCCATGATTGTTGTAAAAATGATTTATTCCATCAGTCAGATTTAAAATACTCAAGTGTATGAATCAAATGTTGAAACTCTTGACATTTTCCTCAATAATTAATTACATGCCCACCCTTAGAAAGAGTATTCGAGGTGCTACTGGAAACCACGAAGATGAATATGTGCTTCCTATCGAAAAATGTGATGCTGACAAGAATTTCTGATGAAATAGGGGATATAATGACAGAGATAGAGAATATGATGAATTAAAGGCCAAAAGAAAGAAGGATCATTTTAAACTGGAGTGATTAGGAAATGCTTATTAAGAAAGAGTATTTGAGCTGGATCACAAAAATCAAGTAGAATTTTTAGTTCAAGAAAGTAAATACAGAATGTGGCATAAAGAAGAAAAACAAATGTATTCATTTTATTTTTTCCTGAATAGGAGTACTCTGAGAGTAGGAATAAGCTGGAATATAAATGTGTTTTGAGGAACTGTAGAAAATCAGATTCTAAATAAAAATTTTGTGATTAACTGATAGTTGAAATGACTCATTAATTCATTCACTTACTATTTCACCTAAGCAATAAGGTATCATAAATATAAGCTGGGAATACAAATATAATACATAGATCTTGATCAAAAGTAAATTATAATAGAGAAAAGACACAAAAATAACCAAAGTTGCTGGAAAAATGTTATAATTAATTCTATGTAGACAGTGATAGCAAGTTAAATTGGTCTAATTATTTGTTTATTTTTCTATATTTGTAGAAATTTGATTAGGATTAGTGCCAACTTTCTTACAGAAGAAAAATAAAAGTCATGTTTCAAAATTAAATAGATCAGTAGTCACAATTTAAATGCATTCCTTTAATTCAATTTATATCATGTAACTGTATATATATTTAAAATTACAATACATATTAACTTCTAATACTTTTATTTTGGGTTTAGTGTAAAGCCATTCAATAATACAAAATGACGCTGTATAGTTCTTGTAAAATTTACAACATCAATAGATAAAATTTTATTTTTACCACAAATTATTTCACTATTAATAATTATAGGGATATATAGTCAATATGTTTAAATATATACATTACATATTTTCAGTATCAATACTTTTAAAATATATTTTTAAATGAGAACAATAACTCAAATTCATTGAGGCCAATTTTGCCCCAGTTTCATTTCTAACCTCTGAGGTGTAGTAATGAACTGGAAGGCAAAGCGGTGCTCTCTTAGGGTTTGAATTGTTGGAGTAGAGACAAATTATGTCATGTCATGTCATGTCATATCAAGTCATGTCATGCCATGCTATGCTATACTATACTATGCTATACTTTCAAATAATGAAAAGAAGAAAATGAAATAAGATAAGACTGCCTATAACTAACATAGTGAGTCTATTTATAATGTGAAGGCTACTTTATCCAGGGTCATCAGGAGTACTGTTGACAAGATCACATTAGAGGAAACATCTGAATGTCAGAAAAACCAGAGTAATCAAAGATAATGGGGGAAGTTTGTACTAGATCAAAGAAACTTGAGAAGGCTGAGAAGATGGATAGGGCTCTGGGTTCCTTTTGCCTAATTAAGGTAGTGTAGCCCTACATTTTCTATCTTAAATTATACTGTCCTCCTAAACAGTCTCATTTGAAGATAAGATTTGTTGATGATAAAACAGCTTGCAAATCACTGATCCAGTCTCTTTGGTATTATGAGAATAGAGAATGAGTTAGTTACATTCAAATTAAAAGTTCTGTTCTATTTCATGACATGTCATTCTAGCCATGTAAAAATATTCTTGAGGGAGCTAATTTCAGAATCACAGAGTCTTATATTTGTGTAGTAATATACATGCATCAATCAAACCAGAAAGCCTTATTTCTGAATGAATTATGAATGCCACCAGAAGTAATGCAAATACTACACAGTATAAAAATCACTAATAAAAATGATGAGATGATGGAAATAAAGGCATGAATGCAATGCTTCTTTTCTTTAAAGTGATACCTGAAAGTAGCAGTTCCATGTTGCTATTGCTGAGTGTTGCATTGACTCTCCCAGTGGAAGCATTGAAACTGGTAACTGTCAAGGTCATGGGTTGCTTCCTTCCTTTATAATTGTAAGAGCCTTTCCATATATAATTCTGGGCAAACACATCATCAGGAACTGTGAACAAATTAAACATAAACATTAATTATTAAATGTATTAATTATTAAAACATAAATAAACATTAATTTTACAGTGCCCTATAAATATAAGCATTAAGTATCAGATTAATGAGTATTAGTTCATAGAATAATCATTTTTCTAAATATACAAGAAAAAGAAGGTGCATTATAAAATGAATTTTTCACATATGTGTTTGAATCTTTTTAGAATAAACCAAATAATGATAGCCTAGATTTGTACATACATCATCATCAATGAGAGATAAGTAAGCCACACCGATTAAAGACGTTAAGACTGAGAATCCGGCTAAATGTCATTTACTTATATTTGGCTTCATATAATATCTTTCTTTCAGAGGGAAAATAAAACTATTTTATTGAGTCAAGTCAGTCTATATACAAGTTCCAGGATGCCTGCTCTTCACCTAGCAGCAGAGATAGGCTCACAGGAAGAAGGACACGGAGTTAAAACTTCCCTTGCTGAGCAGCCTTGGAAGACTGGCAGGAGGGATGCTCCTTGTCTCCTTTACAGAATACTGAGCTCAGTTATTTCAATAATAGGTGCTCCTGAGGAAGAACAGGGCTCCCTGGGTTTGCTCCTCACAGCTTTGAGGTTTACAAGTATTTTTAGAAATAAAAGAACTGTCACTAGAATTGGTGAACTCTCATGGGAAAGAGATGAGTTGTGGTAGAATCAAAGAATATTCTACTATAAAATTTTCACCCAAAGAAGAAATATTCTTAATGTTAAATGCATACAAATAAATAAGACATTATATTTATATAAATTAGTAATGTAACTTATGACCAATATAAATTAGGTGTGTCAAAGTCTACTTAGATCCTGGTAAGAAGCTGAAAAAAGCTACCATTAATCCTGTACATCACAATAAAGCACATTCTTAGATATCAGCTCTTCAAAACAGCCATGCCTGTTTGTGTGAGTGAATGAGTAACATAGATTTGGAGAAAAGCCTTTCTTTTTTTCTTTCTAACATGTTATTGACATTTGTTACCTGATTTTCTCTACACCCATCACAATTGTTACTGCTCCAATCACAGAAACTAGAGTTACGAATTGTACATTCCCTGAAATCTACTCAGTAAACAAATAAAGCTATGGTAGAAGATGAATACAAAGTGCACTCATGAGTTGAGTTGTTATATTGTATTTGATAATTCAAAAGCAATATAGCAGAAAGACTAGACGTGCAAGCACTGGAGCTAGAATGCTTGTATTGATACTTAAGTCCCTCCTTTACAATTTACGTGTGTGGTTTCTCCTAAATTACTTAACTTTCTAAATCTGAATTTTCTTATCATTAATGTGGAATTACCATAGAGTTTACAAGGAAGATTCAATGAATATGAAGTTTTGCTAAGTGTTAGTTGCTATCATTATTATTATACAGATAAAATAGTGAAACTTTTTACTATTTGGGCCTTATATATCATTACATAGTAGAATATTATATGTGTGTATGTATATATATATATATATATATATTATACATATAGATAGATAGAGAGAGAGAGAGAGAGAGAGAACATGCAGTTAGTACCATGAAAAATCCATAGTCCTGGCTCAGGGACCTTTGCAACTCTTCCTAAGAGTGGCACTCCGTCCCCAAACCTCAAACTACACAACCATGCTCTGCATGTAAAGGAGACCTTACTTAAAAATGTGATACAATGTACTGGTAATAAGTCCTTGACTTGGTAAGCAACTTTGGTTCAGTTCAGTTCAGTCGCTCAGTTGTGTCCGACTCTTTGCGACTTCATGAACCGCAGTATGCCAGGCCTCCCTATCCATGACCAACTGCACGGGTCTACTCCATGTCCATTGAGTCGGAGAGGCCATCCAACCATTTCATCCTCTGTTGTCCCCTTCTCCTCCTGCCCTCAATCTCTCCCAGCATCAGGGTCTTCTCAAATAAGTCAGTTCTTCGCATCAGGTGGCCAAAGTATTGGAGTTTCAGCTTCAACATCAGTCCTTCCAACAAACACCCAGGACTCATCTCCATTAGGATGGACTGGTTGGATCTCCTTGCAGTCCAAGACATGCTCAAGACACTTTTCCAACACCACAGTTCAAAAGCAACAATTCTTTGGCATGCAGCTTTCTTTATAGTCCAACTCTCACATCCATATATGACCACTGGAAAAACCATAGCCTTGACTAGACAGATCTTTGTTGACAAAGTAATGTCTCTGCTTTTTAATGTGCTGTCTAGGTTGGTCATAACTTTCCTTCTAAGGAGTAAGCATCTTTTAATTTCATAGCAGCAAGCACCATATGCAGTGATTTTGGAGCAAAAAAAAATAGTCTGACACTGTTTCCACTGTTTCCCCCATTATTTGCCATTAAGTGATTGGACCAGATGCCATGATCTTAGTTTTCTGAATGTTGAGCTTTAAGTCAACTTTTTCACTCTCCTCTTTCACTTTCATCAAGAGGCTCTTTAGTTCTTCTTCACTTTCTGCCGTAAGGGTGGTGACATCTGCATATCTGAGGCTATTGATATTTCTCCCAGCAATCTTGATTCCAGCTTGTGCTTCATACAACCCAGCATTTCTCATGATGTACTCTGCATATATGTTAAATAAGCAGGGTGACAATATACAGCCTTGATGTACTCCTTTTCTTATTTGGAACCAGTCTGTTTTTCCATATCCAGTTCTAACTGTTGCTTCCTGACCTGCATACAGGTTTCTCAAGAGGCAGGTCAGGTGGTCTGATATTCCCATCTGTTTCAGAATTTTCCACAGTTTGTTGTGATCCACACGGTCAAAGGTTTTGGCATAGTCCATAAAGCAGAAATAGGTGTTTTTCTGAAACTTTCTTGCAGCCAATGTTGGCAATTTGCTGTCTGGTCCCTCTGCCTTTTCTAAAACCAGCTTGAACATCTGGAAGTTGATAGTTCATGTATTGCTAGAGCCTGGCTTGGAGAATTTTGAGCATTACTTTACTAGCGTATGAGATGAGTGCAATTGTGCGGTAGTTTGAGCATTCTTTGTGATTGCCTTTCTTTGGGATTGGAATGAAAACTGACTTTTCTAGTCCTGTGGCCACTGCTGAGTTTTTAAAATTTGCTGACATATTGAGTACAGCACTTTCACAGCATCATCTTTTAGGATTTGAAATAGCTCCACTGGAATTCCATCACCTCACTAGCTTTGTTCATAGTGATGCTTCCTAAGGCCCACTTGACTTCACATTCCAGGATGTCTGGCTCTAGGTGAGTGTGAGTGATCACAGCATCATGATTTTCTGGGTAATGAAGATCTTTTTTGTACAGTTCTTCCGTGTATTCTTGCCACCTCTTCTTATCTTCTGCTTCTGTTAGGTCCATACCATTTCTGTCCTTTATTGAGCCCATCTTTGCATGAAATGTTCCCTTGGTATCTCTAATTTTCTTGAATTGATCTCTAGTCTTTCCCATTCTATTGTTTTCCTCTGTTTCTTTGTATTGATAGCTGAGGAAGGCTTCTCATCTCTCCTTGCTGTTCTTTGGATCTCAGCATTCAAATGAGTATATTTTCCCTTTTCTCCTTTGCTTTTCACTTCTCTTCTTTTCACAGCCATTTGTAAGCACTCCTCAGACAGCCATTGTACTTTTTTGCATTTCTTTTTCTTGGGGATGGTCTTGATCCCTGTCTCCTTTACAATGTCATGAACCTCTGTCCATAGTTCATCAGGCATTCTGTCTATCAGATCTAGTCCCTTAAATCTATTTCTCACTTCCACTGTATAGTCATAAGGGATTTGATTTAAGTCATACCTGAATGGTCTAGTGGTTTTCCCCACTTTCCTCAATTTAAGTTTGAATTTGGCAATAAGGAATTCATGATCTGAGCCACAGTCAGCTCCTGATTTTGTTTTTGCTGACTTATAGAGCTTCTCCATCTTTGGCTGAAAAGAATATAATCAATCTGACTTCAGTGTTGACCATCTGGTGATGTCCATGTGTACAGTCTTCTCTTGTGTTGTTGGAAGAGGGTGTTTGCTATGACCAGTGCATTCTCTTGACAGAACTCTATTAGCCTTTGCCCTGTTTCATTTTGTACTCTAAGGCCAAATTTGCCTGTTACTCCAGGTGTTTCTTGACTTCCTACTTTTGCATTCCAGTCCCCTATAATGAAAAGGACATCTTTTGGGGGGTGTTAGTTCTTGAAAATCTTGTAGGTCTTCATAGAACCATTCAACTTAAAGGGCAGTTAATTTAAAAAAATACACCTTTTAAATATTTAGTTTAAAATAATTTTGAAGAAGGGAGTGACAAGTTAAATTATCCTGCACTAGAAAGTTCTGGAATTTGGATGTAATGGACTCACAGGTGGAGAGGTAAGAGGAACAGCAAGGGAGAAAGCTATTCTAATAGCAGTGCCTGGCAAATTAGCAGGTACTCAACAAATGTGCTATTCTTATCTTTCTCATTGTTTATTTCCCCCTGGCCTATACTATGATTTCTGTTTGCTACTTCTGAATATTTAACAAAAATCTGCTACATCTGGTGACTTGTCCATGGTGCTTAGGGGAATTAAGAAAGTTGCTTGAATGAGATTAAAAAGAACTCCGATGGCAGAAGAACACAGCAATGGAAAGAAGTAGGTAGTGGCAGCAGCTACTCTGTATCAGGATAAATTATTGATGTGGTTGTAAATGTTTAAGAACTGGCACATCAGAAAACAAATCGACAAACTGATATGTATTAATAGTATTTGCTGATTCTATAGTGTATATATTTCCATAACTGCAGATTTCAAACCATGAACATGACAACACTGAATTCAGAGTTTGGAAGAATGCACAGAACTGGCTAGAGCAAAGCTCTAGCTCAAGGCTCCAGCATGCCACCACCACCTTTCCCACACACAACCAAGAAATGTGAGTCACGATAGGATGGGAGGTAGACACCATTTGGTCATTTAAATCCCTATGTACAACGGAGATGATAATGCTTTCTATTGTTGAGCTTAATGTGTTTTAAATTGATTTAAATTAAAGATTTATACTACTTATTCAGTAGTTCTTGTAAACTCTAAAATGTTATCCGACTAAAGCTGATGTGAAGCACAATGAACAGGAGGACGACAATGATGATTATGATCTTTTCTTTTCCAAGATATTTTTTAACTTAAACTTTGCTTCATGGGCCTCATAGCACTGCCATGTTCCTGACATTGATACCACTGCCAAATTATTGTTTCTTTGGGGTAGTCTAATCACTGTGTCATGATTTTAAAAGAAGTGTTTCTAATGTTTTCCCACTTTAGATGAAATTGCTCTAGAGTTTTATAGCTACCTTTACCCAGGTTAAAGAAATTCTTTTTCTTTCTAATTTATTAAAACTCTTAAAAAATTATAAACAGATGTTCACTCTTATAAAATAGCTTCTGTACAAGTCTTGTGATGTTCATAATTTGTGATGTTACTTTTTTAATGTGATAGATTATGTTTAAGGATTATTTACATATCATGAAAATATCTATGTATATCTATCATCAAAACAATTTGTTGATAATGTTTTATCTTTATGATAATGGTGTACAGTTGATCCTTGAACAACATGGATTTAAACTGTGAGGCTCCACTTATGCACAGATTTTTTTCAATAGTAAATACTAGAGTACTACTATACTGATCGATGATTGGCTGAATTCATGGATGTAGAATCACAAACACAAAGGAATCTTGAGTAAAGAAGAAACAGAGACTGAGGGTTAACTACAAGCTATATACAGGGTTTTTTATTGCACTGAGAGCCTATCACCTTTAACCCACTTGCTGTTCAAGAGTCAACTGTATTTAATTCACTAAGGTTTTAAGTAGGACTTTTTAATGTATAATCCTACATCAAATGGGCCTATAATTTTTTTCCTTTTTATAATGTCTATTTACTTGAGTTATTAGAGTTATATTGGATCCATAAAATGAGCTTCTTTAATAGTTTTTATAAAACTGAGATGATCTGTTTTGCTCCTTCAAATTCTGTAGAGCTTATCAGTAGAGGCATATTTTTTTCTTGTGGAACTAGCTTTAACTACTACTTTATTTCTTATAGTATGGTTCATTTTTCTCCTATTAGTTATGTTAAGATACACTTTTTGAGTAACTTGTCAATATTTAACTTTTTAAAAATTGATAATTATGTATTTTCTGTTGTTTAGTCACTCAGTTGTATCTGACTTTTTGTGACCCCATGGACTTCCCTGTCCTACACTATCTCCTGAAGTTTTGCACAAACTTATGTCCATTACCCTGGAGAAGGAAATGGTAACCCACTCCAGTATTCTTGCCTTGAGAATGCCATGGACAGAGGAGCCTGGCTGGCTCCATGGGGTTGCAAAGAGTTGGACACAGCTGAGCTACTATCACTCATGACCATTGATTCAGTGATGCCATCCAACTGTCTCATCTTCTATCACCCCCTTTTCCTCCTGCCTTCAATCTTTCTCAGGGTCTTTTCCAATGAGTCAACTCTTCAAATCACGTGGCTAAACTATAGGAGCTTCAGTTTCAGTATCAGTCCTTCCAATGAATATTCAGGACAGATTTCCTTTCTGATTGACTGGTTTAATCTCCTTGCTGTCCAAAGGACTCTCAAGAGTCCTCAACACCACAGTTTGAAAGCATCAATTCTTTGGCGCTCAGCCTTCTTTATAGTCCAACTCTCACATCCGTAGCTTTGACAAAACCATAGCTTTGACTATATGGACCTTTGTCAGCAAAGTGATGTCTCTGCTTTTTAATATGCTGTCTAGGTTTGTCATAGCTTTTCTTCCAAAGAGCAAGTATCTTAATTTCATAGCTGCATTCACCATTCACAGTGGTTTTGCAGTCCAAGAAAATAAAGTCTGTCATTGTTTTCATTTTTCCCCATCTATTTGCCACTTAGTGATGGGACTAGATGCCATGATCTTAGTTTTTTGAATGTTCAGTTTTAAGCCAGCTTTTCCACTCTCCTATTTCACCTTCATCAAGAAGCTCTTTAGTTCCTCTTTGCTTTCTTCCATTAGGGTGGTGCTATCTCATATCTGAGGAAATTCATATTTCTCCTGGCAATCTGGATTCCAGCTTGAGCTTCATCCAGTCCAGCATTTTGCATGATGTACTCTGCATATAAGCTGAATAAGAACGGTGACAGAATACAACCTTGATGTACTCCTATACCAATTTTGAACAAGTCCATTGTTCCATGACCAGTTTTAACTGTTGCTTCTCAATGTGTATACAGATTTCTCAGGAGGCAGGAAAGGTGGTCTGGTATTTTCTGTTATATATTATTAATTTATTCAATATATTCTCTAGTTATTCACATTTCCTTTTGAATGTTATTTAATTTTTGTTCCTTTCTTGATCAGTCTTACCAGAAATTTTTCACTTTGAACATTTCATAAAATAAGTACCTTTGGCTCTGTTGAGATTCTTTTATTATATCTTCAGATTTTTTTGGTTTATTTGTTCATTTTTATTACATTAAATTCTGCTTTACTTTTGTCATTCCATTATACTTTTTGTATTTTCTTAATAGGACACTAATCAATTCTGAGGCTTTCTTTTCTTCTAATATAAGGGTTTAAAGCTTTGTATTTCCTTCACATCTTTACATCTTCTAGTCCCCAAGTTTTGATATTTAGATTTTTCAGCATAATTAAGTTCTATTGTTATATTTTCCATTTTAATTTCTTCCTCAATTCATAAGTTATTCATTAGTATTCATTTTGTTCTTAATTTCCAAACACTGAAGCATTTAAAAAAATTATCCATTTTCTTATTGACTTTCAACTGCACCATGGTCAGATAAGACTAACTTGGCTTTGAAATTTATGTAGATTTATTTATTTCTTGATATATGTTCAACTCTCATAGCTTTCCCATGAAACTTTAAAGAAAATATATATTATTTCATTGGTTGATGAGAAATATTTATATGTATATATATATATACCACTCCATGGGGTTGCAGAGAATTGGATATGACTGAGCAACTAACAATTTTTAAAAAATATTATATCACACATAGTTTTTTGTTTAGTTCTTCCATATTCTTTAAAAAAAAACTGTCAGCCTGATTGGTGGCCATTGGCCATATTTTGCTGAAAACAGTCTAGGGTTATACTCTATGTGCTGGAGCTATTATTCTGAGCACCCTTCTGGCTCTCAGAATAAAGTATCTTTCTTGGAAAGTTCTGGGCATTGATTGACCATTGTGGTTTTCTGATTCCATGCAATGTTTTCTCTCTTATGATGACATATTCATTGGTTACTTTAGAGAAATTCAGTCTGTTTTCACTGACTGTTGAAAAAAATCAGTTTTTCAGACTGATTTTTTTTTTTTTTTTGGTAGGCAGTACAGTTTCACCTTATGTACACTGAGAACTTCTGAAACCAACAAATATTACATTCTAACATTGTACCTGGCTAATTACAACTGGACCAAATCTATTTCCAAGGTAGATTAGATGTTGAGGCTTTAATTCTATGTGTAGCTTTTCATTTCTACCATGTAAATATAATATTTACTAATATGTTAAAAAGCAGGTCTCATATGCTGAGGCCCTACCATGAGCTAAGCACTTTATACTTCATTTCCATGAAGTTCATTCATATTAATCTAATCATTATTATTGTTTTTTTGTATAGATAAAGAAATGGAAGCCCAGATGTAGAAAGTATCTTTTCCAGAGCCTTCGGGTAGGCAATGTATAAAATGGGAATTACATTATGGTTATAGGACTTCAAGTTCCCTATGTTTACTGATTAAATAATTTTGGTTTTAAATCAAATCATTGAAAATAGACTGGACAAGTTCTAGAAGTTGGTAAACTTTTACTCTCAACTCCAAGTGTATTTGGTTCCTTCTTTAAAAAAATTACATTTAAAAATTATATATAAACCTCATTTTGATTTTAGTATTTTAAATAAAACATTAACATTATTTTATAGCTATTTGCAGATATTCTTGAAGGGAAATTTTATAGAGAGAACTATACAAAATATTTTTGGAATATTAACATGCCACAGTATTACACTGCTTGAAGTTCAACATCTTATAATACACATTTTCAAATTTCAAATTTCAAACAGTAAAATGCATCGTTTTCCCATGCTGAAATATATTTTTCTAAATAAATGGTCGTCACTTTGTTAATGATCCCCTTTAGAAACCATGACTACTAGAAAAGCAATTGAAAAGACTAACCACTTAGCTTTGGACTGGGTGTTCCAAGTGCAGGTCTAGGATCTTTCACCAATATTTTGGAACCAGCTATGAAAAGAAACAGAAATGTTTACAAAATTTAATATAATTTATAACACACATATACAGACACACACACACACAATGTGATGCCTTGTCAATTTTATTCTCTGACATATCATAATTTTCTCCAAAATGTTCTGTTCACTATAGCATCTCAGTCCCCACTCAACACTACTATTGTACAGCTAACAACTTTAATAATTATCTTCATTAGAATCCAGTGTGGCAAAGAGAATATTAGTGCTACATTAGCATTTTTGCATCCTATTTCTTATTTTAAAGGCATAAATCAACATGGAAACAATTGATCCCAACATGGAAGCTGAGGACTAAGGGTATGTTCCTGTTGCTTAAAGACAAATAATTTGGGTAGGTTTCATGTTTAAGAGTTAAAAATTATAGGGAATTCACTGGTGATCTTATGGTTAGTACCCGGCTCCTTTATAGGCCAGGCCCAGGTTCAATCCCTGGTCAGGCAACTAGGATCCCACAAGCTTTGTGGCATGACCAAAAAAGAAAGAGAAAGAAGAACTGAGTAAAAAAATTGTTAAGGTATCCCATGGTGTCATACGAAATTGACTAGACTCAAACGTAAAGACGTAAAGTTCCAAGCCAAACCAAGAGGAGCCCAGAATCCTGTGCAGTGCTGAATATGTCTGCAAAGTTGAAGCAGCTGTGATATGCAGTGCTTGTGGACCTGTAAAGATGTACATCTTCGACCAAAGAACAAGGTGATGTCTTTAAAGGCTTTAAAGAGAAGTTATTTGGGTGAACATCACCTTGGCTGTAAGATAGAGAACAATTTGGAAACAAGTAGGTATCGATTTGGACAGAGAAATTAGAAGGCCATTTTAGTAGTCTCAGTAGAGATAATGCTGAGTTAAATGCTATAGTAGTGATGATAAACTGAGAAGTGGATAGATCATTTTGTTTAAGGCTACTAAAATTCTGGTGGACTTAAAGGGGCAGGAAGATGCCAAAGGTGATTACTAGATTTCTATTTATTATGTGACGATGGTACCACTAAGTTAGGGAACATCAAGAGACAACAATGGTGAAGGGAAATTGATGAGTTTATATTTGCATATATTATTTAAATATCTTTGAGAAATTCAAGAAGCAATATCAGGTAAGTAATAGAAAATATAAATCTGGGACTAAGAGCAGATATATGAGCTAGAAATATTAATTTGTAAATAACCTCATAGAGGAGACTAAGTCATTGGCTTGAATGAATTAGATCACCTAGGGAGAGAACACTGAGTGAAAGGAAGAGAAAACAAGAACTGAGCTTTAGAAAAGAGAGAAAACATTAAGCTTAAAAAGGAAATGGAGAATGTGTAGCCAGAAATTTGAGGGGATAAAATATTTATTTATTCAACAAATACTGATTAAACACTTTTCACATATAAGGCACTGCTCCAGTGATCAAAATTAAACTTGTAAATACATTGACACAGTTTCTGGCTTTTTTTTTTTTTTTTTTTTTTAGCTTATACTCTAGTTGGAAAAAGGCAGATGAAAGGATAGGAGAGTGGAGAAAGATAATGACAAGTAAATAAAAGAATACGATCTCACATAGAAGGGATTTCTATCATGAAAAAACTTTAAAAAGAAAAAAATCTATAGCACTCTACAGAAGCAAAGAGAGTGAAACATTTCACAAGGAGAAAGTCATTTACATTTGTGAAGGCTTCAAGACATCAAGAACTAAAGGCCTGAAAAAAATGTATTGATGACTTTATTAAGACTTCTAAAAAAACTTCCTTTATTCCTTCTTCTGGAAACTGTTCTTCCTCTGGTAAACTCATTATATCTTGTCCAGATGGAGATTGTCCTGATCAAGTAAAGCAGCTACACAGGTAAACACGTCACCTAGATATGGTCAAACTGTCATATAATCTTGACTGAGAAATGAATTTGGAGATTGATTACATCAAAAACTTTGACAATCAGACTTCTGGATACTGCTTTCCTAACCAACTTTTGGGAAAGGCTTTCTACCAGATTTACTCTACCAGAAGGATATAAACTCAGGAATGCTGGGAGCAATTTTCACTACTGAAGTGGGTTGAATATTATATGTTCCAAATTTATGTTCACCAGGAACCTCAGAACATGACCTAATTTGGAAACAGAGTTTTTGAAGATGTAAAAAGGTGGGAATCTTGAGGTGACATATTACTGAGATAATCCTTAAATCCAATGACTGCTGCTTTTCTAAATGAGGAGGACATGCAGAGATACATAGGAAAAAAGGTCATGTGAAAATAGAAACAGAAATAACAGTGAGGCCTTTAGGAGCCCCTGAAAGTCAGGGATAGCCAGAAGCCATAGGAAGCTAGGAAGAGGTAAGGAATGGTTCTTCCCTAGAGTCCTCCGAGGATACAGGGCCTTGCTGACACCTTGAGTTTGGGTTTCTGGCCTCAGAACTGTGAGAGAATAAATTTCTATTTTTTCAAGCCATCCAGCTTGTAGTACATTTTTATGGTGGCCCTAGAAAACTAATATACCTACTGTGAGCAGAGAACTAGGAAAAGTAATGAAGGTAAGAAGAAAGAAGCAGAGCATGAAATGACAACATCACCTCTACTTTTGTTCCTAGTTAATTAATTAATTATTATTATTATTTTTTTGTCTCATATCTGAGGAAAGCCAAGATAGTACAAAATCTTCTGTTGCAAGTTTTTATAGAGGAAACTTACCTTCACAAACAGGAACTTTTCCAGTCCAGGTGTTATCAGATCTGCACACTCTATGTTCTGTTCCACCAGCTAAGAAGAAGCCAGGCTGGCAGGTATAAACTAATGTATACCCATGGGATGGAAGGTCCATTCCTACTACATTTGCATGAGCAGGAGTTTCTGGCTGTTTACAGCTGTGGGCTATGTTAAAGAAAGGAAAAAAATGTTTAGTTTTATAAACATGTTAAAAAATTTTGAGATTGGAATCATTATAAATTTTTATAGGTGTGTTAATGCCTTTATACGGGCTTCCTTGGTAACTCAGTAGTAAAGAATGAGCCTAATGCAGGAGATGCAGGTTCAGTCCCTGGATGGCCACCCATTCCAGTATTCTTCCCTGGGAAATCCCATGGACAGAGGAGCCTGACTCTTTTATGGGGTTGCAAAATAGTCAGAGATAACTTAGTGACTAAACAACAATGCCTTTATATAAAGATACCTTTAGATATTCCAATGCATCAAGGAAAGCTTGTCAATGTAAATGTAAATGCTTTCACAGACTAGCATTTTCTAAACAATCATCTCTGGAACACTGGTGAATGTTAAAAAATAAATAGAGAAAAAACAAAAGATGTATTCTGGAGAGCCAGTATATATTAGTATTTTAAAGAATCTATTAAACTCTTGCAGTAAGATAACTCTTAAAGTTTATCAAACTCAAACTTTATATACCAGTTTAGGAAATATTAATTTGTAATTTTTCATTTATTCACTGCAGTTCAGTTCAGTGGCTCAGTCGCATCTGACTCTTTGCAACCCCATGAATCACAGCAAGACAGGCCTCCCTGTCCATCACCAATGCCTGGAGTTTACTCTAACTCATGTCCATGAAGTTGGTGACGCCATCCAGCCATCTCATCCTCTGTTGTCACCTTCTCCTTCTGCCCCCAATCCCTCCCAGCATCAGGGTCTTCTCAAAGGAGTCAGCTTTTTGCATCAAATGGATAAAGTATTGGAGTTTCAGCTTCAGCAGCAGTCCTTCCAATGAACACCCAGGACAGATCTCCTTTAGGATGGAATGTTTGGATCTTCTTGTAGTCCAAAGGGCTCTCAAGAGTCTTCTCCAACACCACAGTTCAAAAGCATCAATTCTTCAGTGCTCAGCTTTCTTCACAGTCCAACTCTCTCACATCCATACATAACCACTGAAAAAACCATAGCCTTGACTAGATGGACCTTTGTTGGCAAAGTAACGTCTCTGCTTTTTAATATGCTATCTAGGTTGGTCATAACTTTCCTTCCAAGGAGTAAGCGTCTTTTAATTTCATGGCTGCAATCACCATCTGCAGTGATTTTGGAGTCCCAAAAAATAAAGTCTGATACTGTTTCCTGTTTCCGCATCTGTTTCCCATGAAGTGATGGGACCAGATGCCGTGATCTTAGTTTTCTGAATGTTGAGCTTTAAGCCAACTTTTTCACTCTCCTCTTTCACTTTCATCAAGAAGCTTTTTAGTTCCTCTTCCTCTCTGCCATAAGGATGGTGTCATCTGCATATCTGAGGTTATTGATATTTCTCCTGGCAATCTTGATTCCAGCTTGTGCTTCATCCAGCCCAGCATTTCTCATGATGTACTCTGCATATAAGTTAAATAAGCAGGGTGACAATATACAGCCTTGACGTACTCCTTTTCCTATTTGGAACCAGACTGTTGTTCCATGTCCAGTTCTAACTGTCGCTTCCTGACCTGCATATAGGTTTCTCAAGAGGCAGGTCAGGTGGTCTGGTATTCCCACCTTTTTCAGAATTTCCCACAGTTTACTGTGGTCCACACAGTCGAAGGATTTCGCATAGTCAATAAAGCTGAAATACATGTTTTTCTGGAACTCTCTTGCTTTTTCGATGATCCAGCAGATGTTGGCAATTTGATCTCTGGTTCCTCTGCCTTTTCTAAAATCAGTTTGAACGTCTGGAAGTTCACGGTTCATGTATTGCTGAAGCATCGCTTGGAGAATTTTGAGCATTACTTTACTAGTGTGTGAGATGAGTGCAATTGTGCAATAGTTTGAGTATTCTTTGGCATTGCCTTTCTTAGGAATTGGGATGAAAACTGACCTTTTCCAGTCCTGTGGCCACTGCTGAGTTTTCCAAATTTGCTGGCGTATTGAGTGCAGCACTTTCACAGTATCATCTTTCAGGATTTGAAATAGCTCAACTGGAATTCTATCACCTCCACTAGCTTTGTTTGTAGTGATGTTTTCTAAGTCCTACTTGACTTCACATTCCAGGATGTCTGGTTGTGATCACACCATTGTGATTATCTGGGTTGTGAAGATCTTTTCTGTACAGTTCTTCTGTGTGTTCTTGCCACCTCTACTTAACATCTTCTGCTTCTTTAGGTCCATACCATTTCTGTCCTTTATTGTGTCCATCTTTGCATGAAATGTTCCCTTGGTGTCTCTAATTTTTTTGAGGAGATCTCTAGTCTTTCCCATTGTATTTTTGTCCTCTATTTCTTTGCATTGATCACTGAAGAAGGCTTTCTTATCTCTCCTTATTCTTTGAGATTCTCCAGGCAAGAATACTGGAGTGTGTTGTCATTTCCTCCTCCATGGGATCTTCCCCACCCAGGGCTTGAACCTACATCTCCTGTGTCTCCTGTATGGCAGGCAGATTCTTTACCTCTGAGCCACTGGGGAAACCTTTCATTTTAAATTAAAAGGCATGCTTTCTAAAGTTAAATTCAGTCACAGTTCAATATGTTGCTTTGCTGTTAATACTACTAATATAGAAAGTGCAACTTAATAATTTTTTGCACATGGCATTTTCTGGCCATATTTTAGGTCCATATGCTGGCAGTAATTTTTCATTTATTTGATTTTTTTGTCTCCTTTTCTCCATGGTTTTACCCATTACTAAATCTCTGTCTTAACTCCACTATTTCACTGATGACACTACTTGATCCTGCCCCTCAGTTTACTTGTTTTGTGTCTTGTGATAACCACTCCTTTCTTGGTCTAAAAGAGATGCTATGAAGAATTCTCCAGCTAAGCAAGACATATCTAATCATGTGTTCATGAATATAGACCCTGTCTGAGAAAGAGTGTTCTGTGGACAAATTTGTTTGGAAAACAATTTCTCCATTTTTTTCTTAGTGGAGAAACAACTAAACTGTAAATAACATCTAGTATTTTAAGACTTATGTAAAAAATAATATTATATGGCTTATATTTAATATAACTCAATTAATAAAAGTTCATTCTCATTGGGGAAATAAATACAAATAGTCTGCTTCTGCTATATTCTTAACCCTAATTATGCAAATATTAGAAATTCTGATATGCTCTGTAGTAACAGAAGCTACTTAATTTTATTTAAATCATTGTATGCCAAGTGCAAGTCTCCAAAGAATCTTGGTTTACTATGAAACATCTAGTCACATCCCACACATCTGTTGTAAAGTATGTACACACTCTAAGGAATTCTCTTTCAGGGAATTTTGCTATAAAGTATAAGCCAGCCAGGCATGTGACATGGCTTCTCAATGGAGTGTTCTACTGCTTTTCAGTAAACTGTGGATCCACATGAGCCCCCATTATTATTTGGGGGATTCTGACAGGGACAGAGTAAATTCGCAGGACTTATTTGGACTTCAGGAAATCCTAAAAGCTAGATGTCTTTCTGATGAGTATTTATTCCTGCTTACTCTTTTTCTTCTCACCCAAAAAAGATGGAGGAAGAGATTAAAAAGAGGAAGTAAGAAGGGGGAAAAAAAGGATAACTCACCAACTAAAATTATTTCTAACTATAATTCAGAAAAGACTGTTTATTAATCTTTGTTCTTATGCAATCTCATTAGAAATTTCTTCCAACTTACGGTCAGAACATGTTTAGAAGCTTAAGGAAATTCTAAGCAATATTCAATGATTTGGTTAAGGTATACATGCATATTTTTTTTTCATGGATTTTTCTAGCTTTACTCAGGTTCTCAGAGAGTTTAACAAGTGAAAAAAGATTGAGCCACTACTATGTTGGAACCTCCTATATCTCACAGTACTTCAGATTCATAGGTACATTTCCATGAACCAAAAAATCATCATTATCTACAATTACCATGTGGCCAAACTGAACACAGTTACAAGAGCTTTACAAAAAGAACAAAACGTTCCCTGTCCCTTCTGACTTCTTAAAAAATAATGCTCCTCACCAGGTATGGGGTTATGCTCTAGTAATAACACTATATATGTGAATTATGTTTTATAATAACCTAGAAATAATGCAACTCACCATTTACATGGACATAAATTTATTTTCAAACTTGGAAAATAATGCATATAAAGTCTTATCCTTTATAAGTATAATTTCTTATACTTACGTATGCACTCTGGCTGAATTCCACTCCATGTGAGGTCAGGAAGGCAAGTCCGTGTTGTAGACCCTTGAAGAAGATGTCCTTTTTTGCAGTGGAACTGCACAACACTTCCCACCTAAAGCAAATTATAGACAAAAAACAAATGTTCCAATGTAACTTCAAATGCAGCAACAGACAGAAAAAAGAAAAAAAATATGGATGATAAAATGCTTTCAAAAGAAATTCTGCATGGTAGAGGCTGAAAGAAAACTGAAATCTGATTTAAAGTAAAAAATGGGGAAAAAAAGACCAAAGAAAAAAAGTAACTTAGATCTCTGTGTACATTCAACATCAAATGCTTGAATACAACATATACATAGAAGTCAAACATTTTGCCATTGAAATTTGAAAAAAATTTGTAAGATACCAAACGGTTGATAAGCTATATATAAACATAAGATAGACAAAGTTAAATAAAGATATATACATGAAGATGGATAAAGATGTATGCAGAAATAAAGATAACTAGCAACATAAGAGGCAAATGAATATGGAAGACAGTAAATGAAATATGAGATTAGACATGAAGGTGTTTATTGAAGGCTGTAGCGGTAACAGAAAAATACAGTGGAAGACGTTATTTGCACTAAGCTTTTCGTGTTAGTCACTCAGTCGTGTCTGACTCTTTGCAACTCCATGGACTTGCTAGGCTCTCCTGTCCATGGGATTCTCAAGGCAAGAATACTGGAGTGGGTTGCTATTTTCTTCTCCAGGGGATCTTTTAAGTGATATTCAATTTGTATAAATATATAGAACAAAGGTTCTCAAGGTGGGGTCCCAGAACAGTAACCTCAGCATCACCTAGGAACTTGTCAGAAATAGCAACTCTGGAACCTTCGCAACCAGTTATTTGTGATTTAACAAGTCCTCCAAGAGATTTTAATGAACACTTAAGTTTGAAAACAACTGATAGTAGAAAAGATAAGAGTATTATGATAAAATATATAGTGGTTAAAACATATACTATGATATTAATAGTTTAGGAAAAAAGAGCACTTTTGGTTAGTTAACATAGATAATATACACAGTGAACTGGGGATTTGGGAGACAAGTGATAAACAAAGAGATACAGATGAAAAAGAAAATAGACCCCAGAGACATGTATACTTGACTTTAACTTTGAATTTGATCCTACTTGAATAAGTTATATCTCCTCTTTGAAACTTAATTCCCTATATAAAAGTAAAGTTATATTATTTATCTTGAGATACAAGGATTAAATAAAATAGAATATATTCACTACATATGGGCATGGGATATAAACTTTAAATAAATTCCAGCAGTAATTATTAGAACAGAGATAAAATCAGTTTCTGAAGAATCTCAAATAGCAGGCTATAGTGTTTGAATCTCTCTCAAAAAAAAAAAAAAAGGACATAAAACTGCTAAAGCTTTCAGAGCAACTAAAATTTCTGTAGAGAATAATGTTTTTGAAAAATTAAACCAGCCACTGTATGGGGAAACCACAAAACAGAAGAATGATGAACAGTAATTCTAATTATGAAACTTGTGTTGCCATTTTAGATTTGAGTGGATAAAGTTTGATCAACTTGTGGCAATAGACATAGAAAGGAGGTTTTTTACTTAAAATATATTACAGGGAGAAAATTACCAGGATTTATAAAGGGGTTAGAGACAGGAGAAGATAAGGATTATTAGAGTCTGCCACTTCAGCCTTCTCCAGTATATGGAGTCTGAAAATGTTCGGTTGTTGTCTTAGGGCTTTTCACATTGAGACCAGCTATATTCCACCATCTTCATATTCTTGTTAACAGCAAGAACTATGCTACAACCAAAACATTCAATTCCAATAGTCATTCTCATAACAACCTTTATCCTTCCAGTTTTCTCATATGTCTTCTATTACAGCCTCATCTCTGCATCTAGGAAATTTCTGACCCTCTTAAAGTCTGATTTTGTCCAGTGCTACTATACTGCTCTGCTCTAGGGAGCACTTTTCATGCTGTATTCAATATGTGCTAAATTTCTCAGTCATGTCTGACTCTTTGTGACTGACCCTATGGACTGTAGCCCACCAGATTCCTATGTCCATGGAATTCCCCAGAAGAATACTGGAGTAAGTTACCATTTCCTTCTCCAGGGGATCTTCCCAGGGATTAAACCTGCATTGGCATGTCGATTCTTTACCACTGAGACACCAAATCCTTCAAATTATGCTCCAGAGCATGCCATTCACATACTCCCTGAAGTTGTGCAATATAGTGCTACAGAATTTTTACTTCCTTGTGTGATTTATACACCTGATGATATAGACTTGGAAATTTTGTTCTTTTGTAAGCCCAGCTCTCCAAAACCCACCACCTCAATCAACCCAGCAATATTACTCTAGCTGAATCTCGGTTGATGGCCACCCTTCACTCATAAGTGTTCCCTCTTAATCTGCCATTTTACTTCATAAATCTTTCTGAAACCGTCCCCTTCCTTTTTCCCCACATATGCAACTTATTTCAGTCCTCAACATTATTTCTCAATGATTCTCCAACTTTAGCAGATATCTTAATCACCAGAAGGGCTTTTCCAAACACAGATAGCTGAGTCTCCCTCAGAAATTTCTGACTAAGTAAATCCGGAGGAGATCCCCAAATCCACATTTCCAAGTTCCTAGGTAATATTGCTGCTGCAGATCAAGAACCAAACTTTGAAAATTACTATTATAGCCAATTATAATAATCATCTAACCTGTCTCCACGTCTCTAATCTTGACCACATTAAATTTATTTTTCACTCGGAAGTTAGAGTGATTTGTTCAACATGAAAGTTCGACTTTAACATTATCCTTTTTAAAATCTTTACTGACTTATCCCTCATAAGATAAAGCTACACCATGCTAACTTGGCAGATAAAAGCCTCCATAATCTGATCACTAGCTATCTCTCTAGCATCGCCGTTGACCACTTACTTTTACTCAGATTGTGCTCGTATAATGAACTTTTGCAGTTCCCATAATGCATGCATATTTTGACACTGTCCCTCACACATGGAATGTATTTCCCAACTAATTTTTTCTTAGATCTTGCCCTAAAAGATTTAGCTCAGATGAAGTTTCTAGAAAGCTCTCCTTGCAGTAAACAGATCAGGAAAACTATCTCTTATGTGCTTCCATAGTTCCTTCCATTTTTATCAGTGTTATCGATCTATCCTATAAAATAATCTATTCCATTTGACCCACACACCAAAACAGCTTCTCTCAGCCAAGGGCTCTATGTTATTCACCATCATATATCAACAGCTTAGGAAAGTGTCTTGAAAATGTTGGACCAACTAAAGGGATGGGGACTAATGACTTACTATAAAATTATTTGACCACTTAAAAAGGTTTAACATGTCTATCCATTTCTTAAAACGCAGTGATATCCTTTCCATAATTTAATAAAGTTATATCATTATTTGTTCTTTGAAAAGTACATTTGGGTTATTTCAGCAACCTTTATATTAGTAAGGAATGAGAAACAAGATGGATTACATACTTTTTAAAAAAAACTTTTAAGACTTTTTTCTATATCTGTAATCTTTTCTGAAGTCACAATAAATACTGATTTATATATTAACCAGATACCATAGAACTAAAATCTAAAGTTTTTCCATATATCATTGACACATTTAAATAGTAAAATTTTTGTCAAATTGACAAATATCTGGTGGTGGTGGTTTAGTCCTGTCCGCTAAGTCCTGTCTGACTCTTGGACTCCATAGACTGTAGCCCACCAGGTTCCTCTGTCCTAGGGATTTACCAGGCAAAAATATTGGAGTGGGTAGCCATTTTCTCCTCCAGGGGATCTTCTTGATCCAGGGATCAAACCATGGTCTCCTGTATTGCAAGCAGATTCTTTACCAAATGAGTTACCAGGGAAGCCCCACGGATATCTATACCAAATATTTAGTAGACCTAGAGTTATACAAATTTAGAAACTGATTTTTATTTGGAATTTGTTACTCTCAAATAAATCATCAAAATATTCTCTAGAGACTTCCCTGGAGGTCCACTGGTTATTATTCCATACTCAGTGTAGAGCACATGGGTTTGATCCCTGGGTGGGGAATTAGGATCTGGCGAACCACAGTGCAGCTAGCCAAAAAAAAAATCTAAATATTTCAAAATGCTGTAAACATATTATAAAATGTTTTCTAAATATTACTGAATTAATTAATAATTTTTCCAGTGATCAATCAACTTAATTGTATATTTTACATATCTATGCATCCTTTTCCAACTTGCCATGTAAATTCCCTTCTGACTATAAATAATTTCTGACATAAATAATTTGAATATTTGTAGAAAAATAAGTAGCATCATAAAATTTTCCAATTTTCTTTAAATTGTCTCAAATTAGTATGTTGTTTGCAAATGCATTAAAAATTATAAGATATATCTAAGTAGTAAGTATGACTTACTGTCTTTACTCTTTATTCCCTCTTTTAAATGTTGTATATTGGTGTTTTTTAGTATTTTTATAGTTATATTAAACATTTTGCCCAAGGAAAATTGAGGCAGCTTCTAATAAAATTTTGATAAGTTAAAATTAACAAAATTGATGTAGAAAGGCAAGGTCATAGAAACAAATGGATAACACATATGCTTAAGATGCAAGGGGTTTTCAATGACTGAGCATCAGTTTTGGGCCCTGAGAAAAACTGAATTAAGGTGTTTTATGAATTTTTATTAAAAATAATCAGAATATTTTAATTTTAAATGTTTAATTTTACTTTTTTGCTTTAAAATTTCATGTTATGATATTCACCATTTAATGTAAGAAAACACTATGTAACATTCAATGTATTTATGTACTTATTTCAATTACAAACTGAAATTCATATATAATTGCTACAATTTTTTTTTTTTATTTTGGAAAAGTCATTTAATCCAAAAATCATACTTCCACATATTTTGTAGGGATCATCACATAAGGTAACCAAATATAAGAAAGGCAAGTTTCAGAGGCAACTCCACAGAACCTATATTTCTTTATAGAGATGCAGGGAACTCTCTGGTGGTCTAGTGGTTAGGACTCCTCACTCTCACTGCCAAAGTCCAGGTTCCATCCCTGATCAGGGAACTATTCCACATGCTGCAAGGCATGGCCCAAAAAACCCCAAAGCAAAAAACAACCAAAATTTCAAAGTTCTTCAATATGGCTTGCCTTTATCTTTTTATCCACTTCTAGCATTACTTTATATCCAATCCTGGATGATCACAAACAGTTGATCATGTTGTCTTTAGTTGATTATTTCTGTCTCCCTACTCCTCAATCATGGATGCTTTTTAGTCTCTGTAGTCAAGACAGAGATTTTCATCAAGGATATTTTGATAGGGTTAAATATCCAAGTGTTAAATAACTTAGAATTAAATATCTAAAAGTCAAAATAAAAATATTTATAACACTTTTATATAACAAGTCCTAAATCAATATAATGTGCCTTCTAAACACCAGAGCTCAATTTAGAGTAATAAGCAGTTAGCAAAATATTTGTGTTTGGCATTTCCTCCATAATTAATCTGGACATTGCATGAATCATTTTGACAGCAACTTTCCTTACTAGCTAAAATTGTTTCAAGTGACAATATTTTAGATAAAAAGAGAGATTACTTTGAATACTTTTTTTTTCCAATACTATTTGTCCTAACAACAGGAGATATATTCTTATATTTTAATAATTATATAACTGTCCAAAAATCTACTACATAAATCTTCATAGAAAAGGAGAATGAAATAATAAACATATTACAAATAAAATTAAGAAATGCAGAGTACTTCTGCAATTCATAACTTTCCCTTTTCTCCTGTCCCTCCCAGAAGTGGGTTAACCACAGCTATGATTTTATTTAACTCACTACTGGTCACTTGATCAGACCAGGGGTAGATACAAAAGTTGGAACATTTTGATTCTTTCTCTGGATATTTGAAACTGAGATCGAGAGGATTTTGTTGCATGTGACAGATCTATTTATAGAAATGATATACCTTTTGCCATACGGCCAATCCACAGAGAAAGAAAATGAAGTGCATAAATGCAGAGTAATGGAAGAGACTTAGTATTGTTTTCCCGTTCCTGGATTTTAGGCTTGATGAGTCTCACCCAGATCTCTCTTCTTGTGGCCTGGGACAAACCCACACATGGCATGTAATATCTTTAGTTTTAAGCTGCTGCTGCTGCTGCTAAGTCGCTTCAGTCGGGTCTAACGCTGTGCGACCCCATAGACGGCAGCCCACCAGGCTAGTTCAAAATAATTCCTCTTGTAAGCAAGGGTTTTCCTCAACTGCTAGCTATGCCTTTTCTAGTTATATATGACCATATTTATTTGGAATCCACCAATAAATTGATATGTTAGAACTACATAACATTTTTTATTCTGTTAGCTCTACATAGGTTTAGTAAACATAATTTACATATAAATATATATAATAAGTATATATACAGACATACACATATATCTGCCATAAATGTGTAAGAAATTTGACATCCATAATTTAACATACTTATTATTTCATTTCTAATTTTAATAGAGATTAATATAATTATACATATTAGATTTTAACACATCTTAAATCTAGCCTATTCATATTTATCTAGATAGAATATAATGATCTAATATATGTTTAATATCTAAATAATAGTTTAACTTTGTGATAACATTTTTCAGTGATTATAATAGAAATCTTAAAATGCAGAGTGAATGATTTTATTCATTCAATGAGTGACTATTCTAAACTCAATTCTATTCATTTCCATTATTTCAAAGGGCATTTACTAAAAAAGGACACAGATTCTTTAGAAAGTCATCTGATTTAGTGTATAGATATTAACACCGAAATTTTGTATTCTGTAAAAATACTGCCATTGACTTGCTTTGTTTTGTTTCAGCTTATTGGCATGAGGGTTAATGCTGTTTAGCTAGTTGCTTATTTTTCAAGATCTCAATCAATTGATAAAACATTTTATGGAGATATGAATCTAAAGTTTTCTGAAAACACCAACGCAATAGAGACCAAGACACTTCTTACCACTTTTGTATTACCTCAACAGGCCTGAGGCAAATAGGAAGAATTGGAAAAGCTATCAAATCAATGTTCATACTGTGCCTGAACTGTAGATAAATGATAACTATTTTTAGCAACAGAAATATGGCACCTTTGATGAGCACTTCCTTTAGAAACAGATGTTCCTCAGGTTCACACTGAATTTCACAGAAAATAGCACAATTTAGAAAACCCTGTGACACAAGGCAATTGGGTAACGTGTAAATTGGCTATTTTCTTTTGGAATCAGTATGCACTTTGGCTCCCCTATGGCCCCTATAATGAAAATCTTCCTGAATCTCTACACAAAATCTAAACTGGAATAAGAGAGAAAAGAATGTCAGCCACATATGATTGGGCACGTTAAAGTACTCTAACAATCCAACTATGGGTTGTAATAATAGGTTATGGTTAAATTATTTTCTCAGAAATATTCCACATCAATGATAATGTTTAAAATTATTTCAGTATTATATATATATTATAAGAAAAAATCTTTTAGTCTTATTGCCTTACTGAATAACCACATTTTTATATATTTGGTAAGTCTGACTCGGAAGTTTTTCCTTAAACCTCTTTCATCTACACCTTTCCTCACTGTCTCCATATTTCCTGTAGATTTTACTCATTTACTCCCTCACTTAATATTTCTCTTACCTACAAGCTACTGCTTATAGATTTTTCTTACACTCACAGGTTTCTCCAATTTTTCTCTTTATACTCACGGTTAGTCAGGCTATATCCTGAGGCATATATTTCTTCTAATTTCCTATTATTTCCACTTTTTTTTGGCTGTTACCTTTTTAAAAATGTGTTTATGAATACAGATATAAGCATGACTCTTTTTCTACTTGCATTAACAGGATTTGTGCACTGAATCAAATAAGCCTTTTGATCTAGTTTTATATTAAATGAAAACATTTATTTAAAGTACACACTTGACAAATAACTTAGGCAAGAAAAAGGCAAATACAATATGATAACACTTGCATGTGGAATCTAAAAAAATAAACAACGACAACAACAATATAAATCCAAACTCGCATAAAAAGAAATCAGATCTGTGGTTACCAGAACAGTAGGTGGGGGTGGGGCATGGAGAATTGAAGGAAGGCAATCAAAAGGTACAAACTTCTAGTTATAAGAGCAATAAGTACTAGATATGTAATATACAATAATGATGAGTATACATAACACTGTTGTATTATATACAGGAAAGTTCTTAAGAGAATAGGTCCTAATAATCATCACAAGGAATTTTTTTCTTTTTTGCCTTTTTAATTGTATCTGGATGAGAAATGGATGCCAACTAATATAACTGCACTAATCATTCCCAATATATATGTCACATCATTGTGCTGTACACTTTAAATTTATATAGTAATATATATCAGGTATATCTCAATAAAACATGAAAAAATAATAGTAAAGTACCTACTTGAAATCCAAATGTATTGTTCTGAGATCCATGACGTGGCACTCCTGGGTTGTCACATGACGTACGGGTGGGTTCTAAAACAAAGAAAATATTCTTTTTTTTAAAATAAAAAAAAAGTGTAATATTCCTTTAAAACATATAGGTTTATTTAAATGTATATTTATCCTATATAAAATAATTTTAAGAGATCTAGGGTTTCATGAAATGGTCCTGGGAATAATAAACAAAAAAATTTAATAAATATCTCCATGAACAGAAACTTGCTAATCTTAAAGCCAAAAACTCAGGTATACTGCAGTTTACACAAATTATGCAATCCATGAACTTTGAACCCTTCTAATATAAAAGCATTTGACATCCAATTAACTCTGGTAATAAAAAGTTAAAGGAAAATGAAGGCTATGAAAGAGGACCACATGCATAAAACATTTGCTTAGGGACTTTTCTAAGAATTAATCTCAAGTAGGGTTATAGTCCCTTTAAGAAATAATTTATTTTTCAGAAACAAGACTTAGTTATTTGCATTTTTACTGATACTTGTAAGAGAGTCAAGCATAAAAATGGTAGGGCTGATAGCCTCTGAGTTGGCCAGCTTGTATGACAGAATTTTTCATAAGTTTACTCAACGTAAAGTTTAATTTTAGGAGAAAAAGGAACCCTCATACACTATTGGTTTGGATATAAATTGGTACAGCTGCTGTTGAAAAGAGTATGAAGGTTTCTCAAAAAACTAAAAATAAAACTACCCTGTGACTCAGCAATTTCAATTCTGGGTATATACACCCCACGAACTAAAGCACTAATTTGAAAAGAGGTTTACAGCAGCATTATTTACACTTGCAAAGATACGGAAGCAACCAACAGATGAATGGATAAATAAGATGTGATATACATATATATGAATGAAAATTTGCCATTTGTAGCAACATGGATGGAGTTGGAGGGTATTATGCTGAGTGAAATAAATCAGAGAAAGAAATACTATGTGATATCACTTATATGTGGAATCTAAAAAAAATAAATAACAGTAAATATAACAAAAAAAAGCAAACTCACAGATATAGAAGACAATCTAGTGGTTACCAGTGGAAAGAGGGAAGGAGGGAGGGGCAAAAGAAGTGTAGGGAATTAAGAGGTCCAAACCATTATGCATAAAATAAACTAAGAAGATACATTGTATAACATGGGAAATAGAGCTAATATTTTATAACTTCATATAAGTATAACCTTTAAAAATTATGAATCACTATACTAAACACCTGTAACTTATATAATTTTGTACATCAACTATATTTGAATGAAAAAAATAAGACAACAAAAACACAAAAAATTAGAATTAGAGCAATGTACTTAGAACCATTTGAAGTCAATATACCTTTGTAATATTTTTGAAGCAAATTTAATTTCATTTGAGTATGTTTATTAACTGCAAAGAGTCAGACACGACTGAGGAACTGAACTGAACTGATACAAATGTTAGTACTTCATGATATTAATATGGAAGCTTTTTTCTTTTTCATTTTATTGGTAAACAGGAAAACTATTTCAAGAGTACTAAAGTAATAAATGTTTAATAATATTAATTTTCAGTGCCTTACAATGGCTTCTATATTTTACATTTTTGTTTTTCACATTTAGCCAACTATAATTTATAGGATAAAGTAAATCATTAAATGTCATTACTAGCTATTAATTCCAAAATTACTGAGCACTGTCCATCTTTCATTAATATTACCTATGCAGTGCGGTGATGAACCACTCCAAGTGCCATCTGCTTGACATATTCTGGTGCTAGATCCCACTAATATGAAAGGAGAATTGCAGCTGTATGAAACCTCTGACTGGTATATAAAGCTTTTGCCGTCTCTTTTTCCTTGGGCAGGTATACCAGGATCACCACAAAATTTTGCTGTAAGTGAAGAGAGGGACAATTGTACAGTGATTTAAATTCATCAGAGTTAACGGTTTAGAAAAGTAATAAAAATAATTAGAATACTGCACTAAAGTGACATGGAATCCATGTAAATCTACCCCATTGAAAATACTTTTAGTTTTTGTCTACATGAATAAATGCTTAATATTCAACTCAGCATAATATTATTTATTTTTATTTTTCCACCTAATAGACCAGCATAACAGTTATAGATTTTTAAAAATTTTATATTGACCAGAATCAAACCACATATTTGTACATGTAGGCTTCAAAATTGGAGTGTATTCTTGAAAAGGATGTGACTCACAAATAGCTCTCAGAAACAAACTACCCATAATAGTCTAGGATGTACCCCGCAGATTGCTCTGTATTTTTCAATGCATATAAAAGATGCAGGTACTTGTTTCACAGATATGTGCTCTGTTGAACACCTGGGTCACGTATCCTAGTATCCTGCTGTCTCCCTCTTCAAAATATAGTGCATGAGTGGTGGTGGTGGTGGGTGGGTGGGATGGGTGTGAGTGTTTTTCAAAGAGAGAAGAAGGTCATTAGAATCTAAATTCATGCAAAAACAATCTCAACATTCTGCAGCCATTGATGAAATAAACTTGACAGTAGTTCTAAGCAAATTGATTAGATGACTCCATTCAAAACACATTTTTAAAGTACTAAAAACAGACACTATTCTAAGTAACTTTAGGTGCTTGCACTGCTTGATAAACAGACTAAGGTTCCTGCACTTGTGAAGTTTATGCTTTTGTGAAGAAAGCAAACAGTAAACATAATAAATAAGTAAAAATGATAGCATGTGGGAAGATAGTAAGTCCCATGGGGAAAAACAGTGTGGGGGAAGGAGATCAGGAGTGTATTGTGGATGTGATAGATGGTGAAGAGTAGTAGTAGATTTTAATAAGGTAGCTAGGCTGTCTCTCACTGAGAAAAGTTTTGGAGGAAAAAAAAAATCACTCCATTCATATCTCAAGAAAGAACATTACAGATGGAGGAAACAACATTGCCAAAGCCCTGTGCTGTGTCAAATCTAGCGTGCTAGAGGAAGAACAAGGCCATTGAGTCTGGAGCAGAAGTGTAGCACAGGATGAGATTAGAAGACTTAAGAGTCAATAGATATCCACATCCATTTGTCTGCTGATGGGCATCTAGGTTGCTTTCATGTCCTGGCTATTGTATACAGTGCTGCGATGAACATCAGGGTGCACGTGTCTCTTTCAGATCTGGGTTCCTCGGTGTGTATGCCCAGAAGTGGGATTGCTGGGTCATATGGCAGTTCTATTTCCAGAATGGGGAATACATGTAAATCCATGGCTAATTCATTTCAATGTATGACAAAAACCACTGCAATGATGTAAAGTAATTAGCCTCCAAGTAATAAAAATAAATGGAAAAAAAAAAAAAGAAAAAAAATTAGCCTCCAACTAATAAAAATAAATGGAAAAAAAAAAAATAAAGACATAGGGGAAAAAAAAAAGAGTCAATAGATATCCAGCCAAAGCACATATAACATATTTTCAATTTTAAAATTGTAATAAAAAATAAATAACATGTAATTTATGATTTTAACTGTGTTTAAAAAATTTCATTTCTATCAGTTATTTTGTAATTATTTTATAACTTACTTCTGAAGTGTTTCTCATTCATATTTCTGCTGAGTCATTCAACAAAAAACAAGGAGGAGAAATGTAACCACATAAACTTCTCAATCTTCCCCTCACATACCCCATATCATTCCATCTATTTTCTATCTTTTTATTTTCATGTACTAAACCAAATAACTATCGGTGTTTGGATAGAAACTTAAGACACACAGTTTATCTTCAAAAGGCTTCAGTTTACATTGATACAAACTTTAGGATAAAAAGGCATAGCTTGAACAGAAATAAAGAGAAAAGATTTTCCTCTTCATTAAATACCTAAAATGAGTGAATATGACTCTTCAACGGATAGGAGAATTGTCTCTTAAGCCAACCTTCTCTGAATTGGAATTCATACTCTGCCATTTACTAGTAATAGACCTTGAAGTCACTCGGTCATGTCCAACTCTTTGTGACCACATGGACTGTAGCCTGCTTGGCTCCTCTGTCCATGGGATTCTCCAAGCAAGAATACTGGAGTGGGTTGCCATTCTCTTCTCCAGGGGATCTTTTAAACCAAGGGTTGAACCTGGGTTTCCTGCATTTGTAGGCAGATTCTTTACAGTCTAAGCCACCTGGAAAGGCAACTTTAGGTAGTGCAGTAATATCAAATCTTGTTTTAATTGCATAAATGTCTATTTTATTTATCCCATTCTAAATAATCACCCAAAGAGTTTTTTATTTTTTTAATTTATTTGTGGTAAAATCTTTTTAACTTTTTTTTTAACCTCATTGAAACGATATATAGGCCTTTCTTGTTTTTCTCCAAGTTTTCTGTTGATATTCTTAATTGCTCTTATTAGCATTTGTAAGGCCCATTGAGAAGGCCTCAAGGGAGCTTCTGAAACCATTTTCTCTTTCAAAAAAGTTCTGTGATTTCTGTGTATAGGAATGCAAGGGATGCCCATCAGCAGATGAATGGATAAGGAAGCTGTGGTACATATAAACCATGGAATATTACTCAGCCATTAAAAAGAATTCATTTGAATCAGTTTTAATGAGATGGATGAAACTGGAGCCCATTATACAGAGTGAAGTAAGCCAGAAAGATAAAGACCAATACAGTATACTAATGCATATATATGGAATTATAAAGATGGTAACGATAACCCTATATGCAAAACAGAAAAAGAGACACAGATGTACAGAACAGACTTTTGGACTCTGTGGGAGAAGGTGAGGGTAGGATGTTTCAAAAGAACAGCATGTATATTATCTATAGTGAAACAGATGACCAGCCCAGGTGGGATGCATGAGACAAGTGCTCGGGCCTGGTGCACTGGGAAGACCCAGAGGAATCGGGTGGAGAGGGAGGTGTGGGGGCGGGGGGATCGGGATGGGGAATACATGTAACTCCATGGCTGATTTATGTCAATGTATGACAAAACCCACTGAAATGTTGTGAAGTAATTAGCCTCCAACTAATAAAAATAAATGAAAAAAAAAAAGATAAAATCATTTCTCTTGACAGCCAACATGCCCTAAATTCTGCCTGTTAACATGGTAGTATCGCTATTACACCATTATTTTCCCTTCAATAACTAAAAACTGTTCTCATAACCTCACTCATTTCAAAATGTTTCAGATACCATGTATTTCCTCAGTTTATTTGGAGATATCTTGAATAAACATAATTGAAGTAAAAAATAATATGAAAAAAAAAGTTCTTAGGTTACTTTGACTTTTGTTTAATAGGAACCAACAAAGCAGTTATTTACAATGAGAGCACTTCATATTTAATAATTTGTTAGTCTCTCTAAGTTTAAAAGGATCCATCATTTGGCTGCCATTTAAGAATGCAAAAAGACCTTTGATATGCAAAATATAAAGAAACACACACACAATAGAACAACCTAGGAAGATACATAATAGAAAAACCTAGGAAGATCAGACAGCATGTTTACATTAAAGACCTTAAGCCACGAAATAGAGCAGCTGGTCCCTAAGTGGCAGAGTTACCCAAGGTCTGTACAATTTGACCTCTTTCTCTGAACTCAGGTGTCATTATCTATTATAATGTCATAACTGAAAATAACTCCCCAGGAGTTCTGCTATATATATGTAAAGCAACTGGGTCAAAGTGAGCCTTATTATATTTGGATATCTATTACAATTTAAATGTCTATGGTATTTTATTAGTATTTGTGTTTTAATAGATACCAAAATAAAACATTATGTTGAGAAACTTAAGATTTTTTCACTCATACCAAACAAACTTTACTATAAACTCAATTCTGTAATATTCTCTTGTATCTATCTATTCTGAAGTAGCTATTGAATAGTTACTACTATAGTCTCACTTAGAACACATTGGTCTATTCTTAGATGATGGTTAGCATGAATCAGAATTTAGATGTTGCATAAATTTCAGTCTAATAAATCACAACTGCTGAAGTTCACTAGTTTTATCTCTCATGCTAAATAAAACTGGTTAGTATACTTTCTGCAGCAAATGTGATATGAATGATCTGATGGGCCAGCAAATGGTGGTATTCCCTGCCTAATATTTGCAATCACTTAACAGTAAGCTCTTCAAATAAACTATCCTGTTTATGATTGGCCTTTTGAAATGAGAAATTTTAAATGTAGTTTATTTTTTCCACTTTTCAGTTACAGGTAGAGCTCTTACATTTCAAGAGATACTTTCTTACTCCAAGGTCATTTAGGTAGTCTTATAATCTTTAAAATTTTATATTTAATTCTCTAATGAATTTGACATTGATTTGTTATTTAGTGTAAGACAAAGACTCTCTGTGTGTATATATAAATGAACTGCCTTATTGCATTAATTGAAATGTCCATTCTTCCCCCACTGATTTGTTCCATAATACATTAAGTATCAATGGTTTATACTCTCTATTCTCTAACACTGGTTTACTTTCTATGCCAGTCCCAATGTCGTAATGTTTTAATTACCATAGCCTTCTAAGTTTAATATCTGCCAAGTATTACACTACATATTAAGTTACAAAAGTGAATGAAACAAGAAGTTTGCCTTCAAGGAACACAAACCTGAGTAGAGGACATCACCCAAAAAACAAGATAAGTAAAATGTACAGTGTTTTGCACACAAAGAAGTTTGGCCTAAAATTTAGTCAGAACAGAAGGAATATAAAGGTTGGATTACATAAAAAATAGCTACATTGGTAAATACTGTTTTTAACTGAATTTTAATTATGCATGGGAAAGAGCTCAACAATCTCATTTTTGTTCTAGCAAAATCTGGAAAAAAATATATAACAGTTGTAATCTCAGTAAAGTAGCTCTAAGAGAGTGAAAGTGGAAAAATACAATTTTTAGTATGGAAATTATACTTACGTAAGCATTGTGGTACTTCCCCGCTCCAGGTACCATTCCCTACACAGGTCAAAACAGCAGGGAAGGACAGTTCATAGCCTGGAGAACAGATGTAGCTAATACTAAAGCCCCAGTCAAAATTTGTTCCTTCCAACCTTCCATTAGAGATCTGGGGAGGAGTTGGGCAGGTAACAGCTGCAATTACATTAAAAATGATTAGACACAGCTGTTGAAATATCCTGGTGTTAACAGAAATAAATATCATTAGAAGAAGCATATGTGCTAATTTAACCTTTTGGAGGACAATATGGTGTGACATGTTTTATTCTCCTGGTAGTATTCCTGAAACATCCCTGGAATTAATTCCTCTAGGATGAGACTACTTCTTGGCAACATAATGTCTACTGGTTCTCAGAGATTCTCTTACAAAATAACAAGCTTCCTGACATTGAAAGAAAGGAAAAAGAGGGTGACCTCCTATCCAGTATACTGCAACTGATAAATTATTAGTTTTATATAAAATTATTTCCAGCAACCTTTAGACAGACTGAAGAGCTGTGTTTGGCTATCTATAGAGTCACACTGCAGCAAGGAACCTGGGAGTAAATCTGTGACATTTTTGAAACACAGATCATGTATCTCATTCAAATATCTAAATTAGTCCTATTAACCACTTAGATTCATATGCTAAATCTTATTGTAGGGCTCTAAATGCATTATAAAATTTTTAATCATTCATTTTTAAAATTAAGATGTCTTTGAGAAAAGATAGGTTGGATAAGGAGACAGAGATGAAAGGAAAAAGAGGGCCACCAATTATAAAATCTAAAAATGAGGAATGATTTTATTTTGATGACTGGCAACATATATAAATAATTTTGAGTTATATAATATTGTCATTATCAAAATCAATAATGTATGAAATAATTTGTAAAATATAAAATGTCTGTTTATATATTTTCATATAAAAACTGTATATTTATCATGATCTGACTAGGAAATTGTGTAGTCAAGAAAAAAAGACATGCATTGGAATTATTCTTTTAGTGTTAGATTATGTCAGGGAGACATTAAACTGACAATTCACAGATATTTAGAGATGTACCTTAATGAGAAATCTCAATGACTAAAAATCAGTATTATTATAAAACAATACATATTGTCTGACACTGAATGTATAGTATTTTACAAGTAATCAAAAAATCAGCAAAAAGCTTATAGAAATAGTTTCAATGGAAAACAAATAGCATAAAGTAGTAAACCTATACCTGTATTGACTAAAATATTACTTCTAGATTGCATTCTTCAAAGAAACAGTTTTACCTTTTAAGAACAAGTAGAGTTCTATAATTCAGGCTGATTATTTTCAAATTATAGAAGGTTTTTCTCCCATCCTTGAATAACTGACCCAGGTGGATCACCAAATTAAAGTTCTATTTCATTACTACTATATTCTTTATTAAATACTCATTGATCCACATAAATGATGATGGTGACTATGTATCACAGGACATGATATATTTTTTTTTTTTGGCACTGCCATGTTGGTATGTGGGGTCTTAGTTCCCTGATTAGGGATTGAACCTGTGTCTCTGCATTGGAAGAGCAGAATCTTAACCACTAGACTGCCAGGAAAGTCCCAGAACATATTTTTGCTGTATTACAGTTCATTGTCATTACTTAGAATGAGATACATTTTTGTTAAAAAATTTTAAAATCTTATATGTTATTATCTATATGGCTTAAAAGTAAAGACTGAAGCACTCAATTTTGGTACCAGAAAAAATGATGAAATGATACAAAAAACACTATTTAAATTTATTTTAAATATGCATATTAATACAGAAAATATATAGTGATTATCACTAATAAATATTGACAAAATCATTATCTTACCTCTACAAGTTGGCATGACTCCACTCCATGTGCCATTAGTTGTACAAGTCCTGATTCTTGAACCATTTAATTCCATTGTATAGCCTGGCTGGCACATGTAAGAAACATTCTGTCCAACCACATAATCATCTCCATATCTCAGTCCATTGGCTGGTATACCTGGGTCTCCACAACTGATTACTATTAATATGGATTGGAAAAGCAGATGGTGAATGTGGCATGTATTTAATGGAGAGGAATAGTAAGCATATGGCATAATTAATATAAAAGTAGGTAAAATCAGTTATCATGCTCATTTTAATGATAAAACATAAGCATATTCAAACCGCACACTATCAACTCCTAATTATGATCACCTATTACAAATTCTATACATATGGTCCAGAAATGGTCATTTAGACTCTTAAAATGTTACTATGCTAATATATTGTAGGAAACTCTGATGTGGTAACCTCTTTTAATCTAAATTAAATAATCATAGAGAAGCCATGCTATCAGATAAAAACAGAATATTTTAAATTTATACTCCTATGTATGGTTACTGAAATCTCTAAATTAAGAGGCTTGCTGGACTGAGACCTTATTTTCCTGCACAGTATCACTCAACTGGATATTACAATAGTTTTTAATTAAACTGATGTCAGGTACAAAAATAATAATTTTATTGAATAAATGAAAGAATGAATAAACTATAAAATGTGAATTATCACATACTGGGTGAGATACACAATTTGTAAGCACAATGTAAACATGAATATGTCAGTTAGGGATGGAGAAATCAATTTCCCATTTTCACCATCTCATCCTCATCCCGTGATAGAACAACCCCAAGGAAATTTCAACCTCTACTCTGGAACGTGCCTGCTTCCTGGATTAGGAGTTAGTAAGAGGCCTATGTCAAGTGGTTGCTATATCTGCCTTGTTATTGCCAGTCCAGGAAAAGGTAAACCACTGCCCTGCTCTGCTCTAAGACTCCATGAATACATACAACTCCAACTAGCCCCACCCATACCTGCACCAAGACCCCAGTAAAAGGATGGAGAACAAGGTGCAATGTGAGCATCCCTCTGATGATACATGATGGACAGACTGGGCACAGGGTATCAGTGGCTCAGAGCAGGGGTGGCAGTGGGAAGGTCAGGCAAGGGCACCAGGTGGTAGGAAGCTAAGGCCTATAACATAACCTAGGAAGACAGGGAGGCAGGGAGGCAAATTGCATATGGCAGAGCAGTGGCTCAGTGGTAAAGAATTTTCTTGCTAAGCAGGAGACATGGGTTTGATTCCTGGGTCAGGAAGATCCCCTGGAGAAGGAAATGGCAACCCACTACAATATTCTTGCCTGGAGAATTCCATGGACAGAGGAGCATGATCAGCTAAGTCCAGGAGGTCGTAAAGAGTCGGAAACAACTTGGCAATCGAAGAATAACAACAAAATCTATAAACCCTTAGCACATGCTCCATTGTCCCAGTGGACTTCAATTATAAAAAACAGATTCAAAGATTAAACCATTAGGAATCTGAGATAGCGATCATCAAGTATTAAACCCCAACCATAGGAAACTTTAGAGCAAGAAGTTCTGTCAATAATGCTGGTCCATAAATATGTCTCAAATTACATATAAAATTTCTCATTTATGATGGTTTTTCCAGTAGTCATGTATGGATGTGAGAGTTGGACCATAAAGAAAGCTGAGTGCCAAAGAATTGATGCTTTTGAACTGTGGTGTTGGAGAAGGCTCTTGAGAGTCCCTTGGACTGCAAAGAGATCCAACCAGTCCATCCTAAAGGAGATCAGTCCTGAGTGTTCACTGAAGCTAAAACTCCAATACTTTGGTCACCTGATGCGAAGAACTGACGCATTTGAAAAGACCCTGATGCTGGGTAAGATGGAAGGCAGGAGGAGAAGGGGACAACAAAGGATGACATGGTTGGATAGCATCACCGACTCAATGGACATGAGTTTGAGTAAACTCTGGGAGCTGGTGATGGACAGGGAGGCCTGGCATGCTGCAGTCCATGGTGTTGCAAAGAGTTGGACATGACTGAGCGATTGAACTGAACTGATGATGCCATATAAGAACTTTCAAAAAGATTGGTGACAGCATAAGAAATGTAAGGATATTTAAGTCTAAATATGGCATTTACAAACAAGGTATATATATGTGTGTTCATTTATGAACAAGGCTTAATAGAGATCATATATACATAAGCTTCCCTTGTAGCTCAGTTGGTAAAGAATCTGCCTGAAATGCAGGAGACCTGGGTTTGATTCCTGGGTCGGGAAGATCCCCTGGAGAAGAAAATGGCAATGAACTTCAGTATTCTTTCCTGGAGAATTCCACGGACAGAGGCACCTGGCAAGCTACAGTCCATGGGGTCACAAGAGTTGAACTCGAATTAGCGACTAAAACACCAAACCACCATAAGCCATAAAAACACTTGATGTTTTCAAAACCATTATTTGAGCACTTTTGGCTAAATGTATTCTTGTGGCTAAGAGAAAAAAGAAAAGAGAAGGTTACATACTTCCTTTTCTGGAGACAAAATCAAGTAGTAAACTGGCCTTTTGGTTTTTTTTTTTTTTTTTTTTTTGCCTTTTGAATCACTTTTCTTTTCATAAAAGGATAAATAAGTTTACCAGGTAAATCTAGGTTATACTGTCTCATTTTCATTTTTAATAATTTCTAGTATTTTGGATGTCTAGGGTTAAAGACCAAAAATAGATTAAGACAAAGAAGAACTTAATGACAATTAAATTCTACTGTGTTTTATTAACTTACCATTAAAAATTACGAATGCCAAGGTTTCTTTCATATTAATCTAATCTGTTGAGCCAGGAAGTTTCAGGACCATGAATGATGATATTTAAATTACAGAACAATATTCACAACAATCCATTTGATAATCCTCAGAACCCCCAAGAGTTTCCTAAAATCACACTCATTGATGTTTCCATCTGACTCCTAATAAGAGCTCTGTGTATAGAATGATTTTTGTTCTCTTCATTATTAATGAGGAAAATATTTTTTTTTAATTGTAAAACTGAGTTGGATAGAAAATCAAATCCAGCTTATTTACCAATATGTGTCAATTCTTTTTGCAGTTTTAAAATGTGTAACCATATAAGCAAGTTTGACCTCAATTTATTTTCTTTTATTTTACTTTTTTATATTTTATATGTTATTTTATATCTTTAATCTAGATTTAAAATTAAGAAGAAGAAAAGTTAAATCCAATACCAACAGATCATTATTGTTTTCTGGTCAGTACTTTGGAGGCTGAATTAGAATTCTGCAAGAAAGAACAGCTAACCCAATCGTAAGGCACATGAGCCGAGTGAGATGCAGCCACTGAAAGAGATGACAGAGGGTTTCTTTTCGAGAAGCACTGAGAAAGAGTTCTGCATATCTTGGCAGCATCATGAATGGAAGGACTGATAACAACAGCTTCAGAAAGATTTGTCTGGTGGCTTCATAACGAAGCAAAGGCCAGTCAAAGAGGCAGTTTCCAACAGCAACAATCTTTGTAAATAGCACCTGCTCCACAATAAATTCATTCACCACCAGCTTGTTTTCAGCAACAAAAAGAGGCTTTCAGGTTTTTTGGTTTTTATTTTTTTAGGAAAAACCTTAGGATAGTGGCCTTTTAGGACTGTACCCTAAAATTCAGAGACATTAGTGCATAACAGCAGGTTGCTGTGATTTAATGCAAAAAACTATCTTCTAAGGTCACCAGAATCCTTTATGCACACAGCATGAGTGTATGCATGTGCACTCATCCACACACTCACACCCCAATAAACCCCGTAGAGACAGTTATTTTGTCTATTTCCTTTAGAATTATTTAAGCCTGGTCTAGTGCATGACTCATAAGAGATTAAATAAATACTTGCTTCAAGAGCAAATGAGTGAATGAATATGTAAGGAATAATTAAATAACTCAGATTCTCAAAAATACATAAACTAAAGGGTTTAAATTTGGTTTTGTGGGAACTTTTCTCATTAGATTCTATCATGTAATTGATGCCCATTTGATATTATTTATGATACATCTAAGTATAAACCTCTACAGCCAATATAAAATAGAACTGTGGTATTTCTAGTCAATCTATGCTACTTCAAACCTACTTTGTCTTTTAGCTTCTTAAATGAGCATTATAATTCTGCCTTTTTAAATAGAATATCAATATAACACAAATTATTTTTTACTCAGTATCTAATGAACATATTTGCATGGTAATACATATAGATCCATGTGACTTGTTTTTAATGACATGACATTCCCTTGCATGGATATACATATAACATGATTCATGTAATCAATCCCATGTGACAGTTGAGCTAGCCCACCATTTTCCCACTGGCCACAAAGCAGCAATGGATATGTTTACTCGGGCATTATGACACATGTGCTTTGCTGGGTTTCAAGTCCAGAACAGATTTCTCCTCTAGCACAGTGAAGTTCCAGAAAGGTGGTCAAGCCATCTCCATGGTAACACTTCTGATTCTATACCATCCCTGAATTCAGAAGCCAGTTTCCCTATTTTGTATCTCAGTAAGGTAAATTTTCTTGATATTAACTTTGGCACTATTGGCATTCTAAACCAATCACTCTTGGCTGCTTTTTATGCATCAGGAATGTTTAACATTGATCTCTACTCACTAGATACCAATAGCACATGCCACTCACTTGCACTATGACAGTCAAATATACGTCCAGACACTGCCAAATGTCCCCCGGGAAGCAAAATCACCCCTAAGTGAGAGCACTGCACTGATGGTTAGCTCTCTTCTGGAGACAAATACTCTCTCCCAACAACATAAGAGACAACACTACACATGGACATCACCAGATGGTTAATATGAAATCAGACTGATTATATTCTTTGGGCCAAAAATGAAGAAGCTCTATATGGCCAGCAAAAACAAGACTGGGAGCTGACTATGGCTCAGATCATGAACTCCTTATTGCAAAATTCAGACTTAAAGAAAGTAGGGAAAACAACTAGACCATTCAGGTAAAAAGTCTTAAGAGCCAAGGCATGCTGGCATAAGGCTTTTTGAAGGATGTTGCCATCATGGCCATTATCCCTACCATAGCTTGGCCTCAGGATAAAATGCAGGGAGGAAACAGAGCCACACCTATCAGCAGAAAATTGGATTAAAGATTTACTGAGCTTG